CAGGGGTCATGATTGCCTCGGGTCACTCTTGCTTGTAGGCGACTCGCCCTCGGAGTCGTGTCAGATTCGGGTCTCGCTCCCACCTGCTGCTTGCTCCTCCTGGGGTGGCAGGGTGGGGGGGATGCAGAGGAGGGGGGAACTCGGGACTCGGATCTCGCAACGGCTCACCGACATCTGGCAAAGAGGAAAAGATGAGGACCCTGGAATCACCCCTTACAGTGGAGACCCACTGCCAAGAAACAACCTGCTTGCCTCCAGGGTGCCCTGTGTCCTTGGTTTCTCGATTTGTGCTTGTTTTCGTTAGGGCTTTGCTATGGAAAGCGTACCGTTCCCATACCAACAATGAATGGACGTCCTGGGGTCTCTCGGAGAAGATATCATTGCATAAACATAAGCTTTTGGCGCTCCGTGCAGATTTCTTGGATCCGCGTTGTGGGCCCGCTGGCCGCGCCTCCAGCGCCACCCCTGGCGCGCTCCGCGCGCCAGGGAAGGGGTCCAGCGCAGATCCAAGCAGTCCGCGGAGCGCCAAAAGTTTATGCTCATGCAGCTTTGTTATGCTTCTAGTCGCAGGGTTGGGTTTCTTGTGGAAGGCTTCTGGTGGACTGGCCCTTAGTGGGCCCCGGAAACGGCAGGGCCGTTTTTTCACCGTTTCCAAAAAATGTCCCTTGAAAATGGAAACGGCAAAAAAACGGCGACTGGACACGGCAACAAAAACGGCTCCAGGATTGGAGCCGGAGCGGGAACCGGTAGCAAAAACGGCGACGGGGCCGGTAAAAAAACGGCGTCGGAACGGGTCAAGAAACGGCAAAACGGAACCGGTAAAAAACGGCCCTGTCGTTTCCAGGGCCCACTGAGGACTGGCCTCCACTGCAGAAGCAAGAGAAGACCCCCCCCCCGGGCGGGACGGCCTGCCTCGGCGCCCGGCTGCTGCAGCAGACGGCGGCACGGCGTGCCTAAGACCTCTGTGGCCAGGAGGAGCCTCTGCTCGGCGTGTCACTGCGGCGGCCCTGGCAACATGCCATGCACCGAAGAGGAAGAACAAATTGCATACACACAGACTTCTGGCGCTCCGCGCGGATTCGAGAGATCCGCGCTGCGCCACAAGTTTACGTGTGTCGGGTTTTTTCCTTTCGACGCATGCCCGCAACCGGGATTGCGCGTCGCTCTGATCCTCGGGGCGGGAGGCTCGGAAAGATTCGTGACGTCGCTGCTCGTGGACTGGGGGGGGGCTGCGGTAGGTTCGTGTCGTGTCGACCAGCGGCGACTCCGCCGCCGGCGCTCAACGTTGAACGCAGCCAGCGACCCAGGGTCTGGCGATGTCGAAAGACCTGACGTTTCGGAAGCGGCCGATCTTTCCAGGTTGAGCGGTCCCCACGGTGTCAGGAAGCAACGCCGGGGTCGACACGCCGCGAACTTGCCGCAGCCCCGGGTCGCGCCGAAGCGCGGCGGGCCAGAAACGGCGGCTCGGGCGTCAGCAGCGGCGGCGGGGAGAGGGTGGGAGGAGGAGGAGGAGGAGGAGGAGGAGGAGGAGGAGGAGGAGGAGGAGGAGGAGGAGGGGAGGAGGGGAGGAGGAGGAGGCGGAGTAGGAGGAGGAGGGGGGAGGATCAGGAGGAGGAGGAGGGGAGGGGAGAGGAGAGGAGGAGGCGGAGTAGGAGGAGGAGGAGAGGAGGAAGGAGGAGGGAGGAGGAGGCGGAGTAGGAGGAGGAGGAGGAGGAGGAGGAGGAGGAGGAGGAGGAACAATAGGAGGAGGAGGAGGTGGAGGAGGAGGAGGAGGAGGAGGAGGCATGAACGAGGAGGAGGAGGGGGAGGAAGAGGAGGAGGAGGAGGAGGAGGAGGAGGAGGAGGAGGAGGAGGAGGAGGAGGAGGAGAGGAGGAGGGAGGAGGAGGAGGAGGAGGAGGAGGAGGATAGGAGGAGAGAGGAGGAGGAGAGGAGGAGGAGGTGGAGGAGGAGGCGGTGGAGGAGGAGGAGTCAGGAGGAGGGCCTGGCCAGACTTGGTGGATGTGCATCGTCTCCTTCCTCTATAGTAGGGGAGCGGGTGACCCAGATCCCCGACGACGTGATCTTTCGTGACGTGCCCCTCAGAAGTCTGGACCCCTTCCCGGCGACCGGTTTTTCGTCCTGAATCATATTTCGACGGTCCCGAGGCCCAGGAAGGGCCTCAGGAGGCCCGAAATAGCAAAAAGCGTCCGTCGTGATTCTTTCACATCGCGAGGGGGTCTGGGGATGGCGGAGGCCGCAGCAGCCGCCGCCCTCGGCGCGGCCGCGCTCTGGCCGCTCGGGCACGCCGCGGCACCCGCGGCGGCGTGGGCGGGGGCCTCCGCGCTGCTGCCCCTGGCGGGCCCGCCCCTGCCCGAAGAAGCCTGCTACCCGGAGGGCTCGGGGGCCTACCGTTCCGGGCTCGTCTCGATGCCTTCGATCCGATCCGATCTCGATGGCTTCCGGTGCCCGATTCGATTCGACTGCAGATTCCGATTCAGACTCCGATCCCCTCCTGGAGACATGCCAGCCTGCCGCTGTCCGCCGAAACGACTCTTCCCGACTTGGCCGCCGATTTCCGCCGATCCGATTCGTTTCGATCACCGATCCGTCTTATCGATTCGATTCTGGGCTTTCCTGCACGGCGCGGTTCGAGGCCTACCGGGCCTACCGTGTGTCGGGCAGTGTCGCTATCCTCCGCCGCCTCCCAGTGGTGTGGTGCCTGCACGGGGGCTCCTGCTTTCCCAGACCCCCCCGCGCGTTGAAAAAGTCACGACGGGAGGTTTTTGGCCAGTTTCGGCCTTCGGGGGCCCCTACCGGGCCCCAAGGGCGTCAAAAAAGGATTCAGGATGCAAAACCAGTCCCTGGGAAGGGGTCCAGACTTTTGTGAGGGCACGTCGTGAAAAAATCACGACGTCGGGGGTCTGGCTTCGATTCCTCCAGCTCGATTTCCGAAGAAGAGAGGACGCCGTAAACATATAAACTTTTGGCGCTCCGCGCGGATTTCTTGGACCCGCGCTGGGCACCCCCGGCGGCGCCTCCGGCGCCGCCCCTGGCGCGCTCCGCGCGCCAGGGAGGGGGGTTCAGCGCAGATCCAAGAAGTCCGCGCCTAGCGCCAGAAGTGTATGTGATGGCGTTGTTTGTCTCCTAGATTCGATTTGGCTTCGATGGCCTCCGACTCAGATCCGGTTCGACTTCGGATTCTCCGATGTGGCTGCCGACCTCTCCACGAGGGCGTCACTAGCCTGCCAACCTCCGCCGATTCGACTTCTCCCGACTCGGCTGCAGATTTCTGCCGATCCGACTCATTTCGATCGCCGATCCGTCCTTTCGATTCGATTCAGGGCTTCCCTGCTTCATGGGAGCCTCAGGGGGTCACACAAGTCCTTGCGGTTTGGGAGATTTCGTCTGGATGTCGTCGGAGTTGGTCGACATCTGCGCGAAATCTGGACGAAAGGGTGAAGTGTGGTGGTCAGAACTGGACGAAACCCGGTCGAAATCGCGTTTATGATAGGGTCGTGGAGGTCCAAGTGTTTTGATAGTAATACTGCAGCTACGGACCTGAGAATTTCACTGGCGAGCGCGGCTTGACCTACAACAGGTGCTGAAAATCTTGGCTCTCAGAACGAATTGTCAAATCTCTAATAATTGCTAGAAAATTTAGAATTTCTTCAACATCTGTTAATTTTGAGGTCGGTCCCTGGAGGCTCCCATGAGGGCTCTCCCGGTCCAGGACCTCCAGCGCATCGAAAAGCTCAAGGCGGAGGCTTTTCGTCGTCTGCAACAGCTGGGAGCCCTCGCTGGGCCCCCAGGGCCGTCCAGAGACGACTCGGGATGAAGGGCCGGCCCTGGCGAAATGGCCGGGAACCACCTGCTCAAAGTAAGAGTGGCACACATGATATCAGCACGAGCCCAGCGCAAGGACGTCAAGCGCAAGTCGCCATCCGGATTGTAATTGTACGTTTGTTTCCGCTTGCCCCATGCCGTCCCCTTCCACTTCAGTATCTCCCCTCTGCGGTAATCAAGAAATGGGCGGGGCCCGCAGGATCTCACAACCAATTCCTCATTATCCTCGCTCTCGCTGTCTCTCGTCATCTCTCTTCCCTCCTGGTTCTTCCTTCATCATTCCTGAATCCTTCCTTGTCGCTGCCTCATTGTACCTCCATCACATGTCGTCCCCGCTCCCTGATCCTGGTATTATCATGTACCCCCCTGCTCCACATGATCCTCTTTCCTCAATTGCCATGTCTCCTCGCCTTCGTTGCGTTCCCACCTTCCACACTCCTCACAGCTCGCTGGTCCGAACTTTCAGAGACACGGTGCGCTGTCAAACATGTCGTCGGCAACCCTCTATGTGGCGAAAAGGCTTTGTCAGCAATTCGGCATTCGTTGTGACATTGTGATTGCGCGGGTTGCTGCTCAATCAGGAAGTCAGAAGAGGAAAGGATGAATGCGATCACGGGAAGGGGCAGTAGAGGCGAGGATGAGGATGATGAGCCCACGGGGTGCCAATAGAGAACATCAGACCAGTGGTCCAGACGTGGGTACACAGGCTTCTAGGCCTAGGGTTGCCGTGTTCCTCCTTCTAGGAGGTTCTCTGGAAGAAATACAAAAAGACTTAGTGACGAAGGCCGACAGCAGTTTCGGTCCATTTTGAACAGGGCTCGGTGTCTGCGTCACCGCGGACGGTGTCCACTGGAAACAACACGTCGCCTGCTCAAACGCGGCCGCTGTCGGTTTCGGACAGCATTTGCTGTTGCTTCCCGTGCCCGTACTGGGCGTGTCCAGGGTCGTGGGGGGAGGGAGAAGAGGCGGGGGAGGAGGAGGGGGAGGAAGAGGAGGAGGAGGAGGCGGAGGAGGACCAGTGCGTAACGATGTTGCACTAAAGCATGCCTCCAAGATCCCTCTTCGTGGGCCATTGCAAGTATGCATTGTCATTGCGGGAAATGCCCCATGGGAAGACAACCGTTGGAGAATCCTCGAATGTGCCAAATCACCATTCGTTGGACTTCAACGCCTCGATTCAATGTGACTGTTGAGCCCTGACAGTCTCAAATCGCGCCGGAAAGCCAATCCTGTGACTTCAACAGTGCGAATGCTGGTGATTATTGCGTCTCGACGACCCTGAGTCATGCCAGAGCACCCTTCCTGTGATTTCAACCATACGGATCCCCGAAATGCTTGCAAGCTTTTACACACGAATGCGCGCGAGGCAAGGGCAGCGCCACACCTGGAAAGTGGCCCGCCCTCCGTCCTCGCTGGGGCGAGATCCACATTTTGGAAACCACCCGCCCTCCATCCCTGGAGCTGCTGCAGGTTTTCACGACGATTGCGCGCGGCACCAGGGCTCGAGCAACATTTTGAAGAGGAGCTGCCCTCCAGTCTTGGGGCTGTTGTGAGCTTTTGGGACGGTCTGTCCATCTATAATGCGAGAGCTACATTTTGAAGCACACACGCCCTCCGTCATCGAAACTGTTGCGAATGACAAGCTTCAGGATCATACATGGCGAGGCCGTTTCAGGCGAAACGCCCGGCGCACCCTACCGAAACGCTTGCGACATGGAGGAGGCATGTAGATGGAACAGGGATGGAGGACGTGTTGCTTTTGGCTAAATGTTGTCCAAAAGTGTGGCCCTGGAGGTTTGCACCCTTTCCATGGGACTGGCTTTTCATTTTGGGGAAGCCCCCCAGAGGCCGAAGAACGAGGCAAATCAAAAGCGTGGAATGTCAGGGAAGGATGAAGAGGAGGAGGGCAAGTGTAAACTAAGGACCCATCAACGAGACTGCAATAAGCCCTCCCTTTAAGTTCCTTCTGCATAAGTCCCTACAATGATTTGTTTCGCTGTTCGCTCGAGGACGTGCCCCGTTTGAAAACAACCATCGGGAAATCTTGCGTTCGTTGGACTTAAACGCCTCGAATCAACGCCAGTGTTGCGTCATGACGATCCTCATTCGTGCCAGACCACCCGTCCTGGGACTTGAACATTGCGAATCAACGTGACGGTTGCGCCCCGACAGTCCTACATCGTGCCAGAAAACCGCTCCTGGGACGCTAGCCATGAGAATCCTTGAAACTTCTGTAATCTCCTAGGGCCAGTGTGCGCGGCACCTCGGCGAGAGCCACATTTTGAAAATGAGCCGCTTCATCCGCGAAACGTGTGCAAAGTTTTACAACGAATGTGCGCGGCACGGACAGCCACACGTTGAAAACCGCCCGCCGTCGATTAGCCAAACATTGTAAATTCGAAAGACGAATGCGCGTGGCATTTTGGCAAGAGCCACACTTCGAAAACCGCCCGCCCTCCATACGTGAAAACTCCTGCGAACTGTTACGACGAAAGCGGGCGGCGCTGAGGCGAGAACCGATTCTGATCATGAAGCAACACGCCCTCCATACATGAAGTTGTTGTACATTCTGCATTTGAGGATCGCGAGTGCCGAGGAAGCCTCTGGTGCCCCGCCCGACCCGCCCCACCGACACGCCTCGGGGTGCGACAGGGAAGTGGCGGCATAGAAGGAGGAGGGGAGGGATTGAGCGGACGGCTGCCGACCAGGGGAGCGGCCGCCTCCGTACACCCCCCGCCCCCGTGGTGCGAAGCTAGGCTCGAGTCGGGCATGTCCCTCCACAGGAGGAACATGCAGAAGCAGTACAGAAATAGTCCGGTGGCGATGTTTCGCGCTCCCTTTTGGCTATGTTCGAATCTTGGTTTGGCTATGTTCAGTTCTTCTTCCAAAACCTGCCTGCAGGAGGACATGCCCGACCGAACCGTGGTGCCAAGCGAGACCTCCGGCGGGCCCCAAAAGGTGGGCCAGCGGGGGGCCGCGGCACCGGCGCGGAGCCGCACCGCGCTGGGCGCCGTGCAGACGCGGGGGGGCAAGGCCTCCTGGCGGTCAGAGACTACCTTCGTCGTCCTCCTCCTTCTCCTGGTCCTCCACCCCCCCCAGGACCAGCTTCGTTTGTTGTGTCTTGAATGCCAGTCGCAGAGTATTACACGAAAGAGACGCGAATATCCTGACAGCTTTGTGAGGGGGCTTCGACCGAAGACCTCCTACTTGGTAGTGTATGGATGTTGCTTCGCAACTGTTCCGATTCCGATTCCGATTCCTAGATGGGGTCCGAGTAGATGGGGTCGAAGGATCGCGCCGCATCGCCGATGCATCGCTGCTGCGGCTCGATGTGGAGCTCGAATTTCTCTTCGCCGACGTCGCCAGTGTGTCGTCGACGTCGCGAACGCATCGCCGATGCATCGCCGATGCGGCGCTATCCTCCGAATCCATCTACTCCGACCCCATCTAGGAGGTCTCTGCCATGGGCACGCTCGATCTCCTCCTCCCCCTTCCTGGGGGGGGGGGCGGAATAAGGAACGATAGCAGGCACGTGCTATCCAGCCCGAGTGTGGGCCATCCACGTGACGCCAGCAGGCCAGTTCACGCTTTTTTCGGGACCGTGGTATGGGCTGGCGACCCCGGTGGCTCCGAGAGCCACATCGGCAGCAAACTTGTTGTATGCCTCGATTCCAGTCTGGGTGGACAGGGACACTCTTGCTGCCAATGATGTTCGTTCGTTCGTTCGTTCCTCCTCCTTCCCCTCCATACGTTAGAGACCGACATACCAGTACTGCCCTTCCCTCTCGTTGTCGCCTTCCCGGGCCTCCTGGGGGGCTGGGGGGTCCTCGTCGCCACGGCTGAAATCGTTTCGAAATTTTGGTCAGGACGCACACCGTGAGAGGTCCGAGGATCAGCCACCTGCATCTGTTTTCACCCCCATCCCACACTGTTCCCGGCCTCTCCCCCAGATTTTGTTGTGAGGTCACCGATCCGCTGTCTTCTGAAGAAGTGACCTCGAATATCATCGTCGCCGTCCTCCTTCCCCAAGCAGGCTTGTGTCGTGACAAAAATCACTACGGAAGTTGTTTGTCCGTTTTCGGCCTCCATGCGGCATTCGCCGGATCCCTGGACCGTCAACAGGCTTCCCGTGCTAAGAAACATGCCTTGGGGGAAAGGGTCGGTTGGACAAAACTTGGGGGGCATCGGATGTCTGGGCCTCCCGCTCCTCTGTTTCTTGCCTCCCCCCCGTCTCCAGAATTTCGGGGCGGGCGAAAGGGGGGGATTGGGAAAGGGGGGGGTTAGGAAATCTGCTGCATGCAGCTGGTTTTGGCGCCACCGAGGGGCCCATTCCTCGATACATGGGCGCCTCCGGCGCCGGGAGGCGCCGGGAAAATCAGCTACGTGAGCTGATTCTCAAACCCCCCCTTTGCTATCCCCCCCTTTCGCCCGACCCGAGAATTCGAGGCAGTGATCACAGCCCGAGCCAGAAAACCGCTTTTTCTGTAGGAGGCACGGGCGGCCCAGGAGGGGGCGCGGCCTTCTCGGCCCGTCCTGCCCTCCGTACCCTCCCGGTGCTCCTTGTCTCCTCTTTCGTTTGGGCGTCGCGTAATGGGGGGGCCATAAATGGGGGGGCGGCGAGGGTGGTCCGAAAAGGTACCCAAACGGTGCCTAAACGAGCCCCTTGAGGCTCCGGAGGGGCCCGAAAGGGGCACGGAAGGGGACCGTTTCTGACCCCCCCTATTTGTGACCCCCCCCATGAAGCCACGCCCAATTTCGTGGAGGAGGCTCGAGAGCCAGCGCGGTCCTCGCCACCCTCCTCGCCCTCTGCGTGGTGCGCCACATGCTCAGATAGAGGATGGTCCACTGACGGGCCGATTTCCCACCACCGCTACCATAGGTAGGAGGAGGAGGAGGAGGAGGAGGAGGAGGAGGAGGAGGAGGAGGAGGAGGAGGAGGAAAAGGAGGAGGAGGAGGACCTCCCAATCCTCCCTTTTCCCCCGTTCTACCTGTGGTAGTGGTGGCCTGTAGGTGGGGCAGCGGGGCGTCCAGCGGTGGTGGTGTACACGCATTGTGGCTGACCCTTTGGCGGGCATCTCGCACAAGCTGCATCCCACAAGTCAGCAAATCCTGCGCGCACACAACCACGCGTACACCTCAGGGGTGTTGGTGGTTCGTGCTTCCTTGCTGGAGAGGAAAAATGTTGGGCAAGGATTTGGTATTCTCGCGGAACTTGGAGCTCCTTCGGCAAGGGCAGTGGCCCATTGGTCATCCCTACAAAGTCTCCAGGTCCAGGGCAGTACTGTCTGGAACGCTAAAAGTTGCTCTCGCATTCACATGTTTGGTTGAGTTGACTACCAGGGTCCCCTCGTCGCTTTGATTGGACGCGCCTCAAGGAACCCGTCTGTGCATTGCCTGGGAGAGCTCGGGCGAAAAAGAAATTGAGTGGAAGGACCACATCGGGCGGGATGATGTTATACGTTGTGTTGTGGACCGTGCGGGTGCAAGTGGACCGCAAAGTGTCTGGGGCGGGGTCTTGGACGCACATGGTTTTGGAGCTCCCCCTCCTCCCTGAGACCTTGGACCGACGCCCATAATATTATTGAACTTTCAGCCCGTTCCCTTTCAGAGTGACACCTGTAGCACTTTATGCATTTCCTGCACGTTCGCAGGCGAAGACCGGGGCGACCAAGAAAGGCAAGTACCGCGGCCCAGTCAATCCCAGGTTGCGAGCTTTCATGGGGTCTTCCGAGTACCGCGAGATGATCCAGCTCCTCAGCGGCCTCAATGAGCAAGGATTGCTGGACGGTTTCCTCGATAAGGCCGGGGCCTACTGGGGCAGCATGAATATATTCCGCCTTGCCGAATTGGAGCGCTCCAAAGGTGGCCAAGGAGTCATGACAACCCTCAGGCAAGACTGGCCACGCATCTGGCCCAAAGAGCTGGAAGAAGGGCGGTTTGCCGCCTTCGACAAGTTCCAGCGCTACTGGGGGCGCCTGGAACGAAGCAAGCTGGTGGACGACGTCATGAAGGACGTCTTGCCGGACATGGAGAAGGCCGACGTCTAGAAACATCCCCCGCACATGGTTCCCCCCTGAACATGATTTCTGGCAGGGGCACACGAGGACCCGCTACTCAATAATATTTGTAGTCGGGCGACGTCTGATGGGGGGCAACGCGTTGGGGGTCGACAGCTAACGTTCTCATTAATGTGGGGACCTGGGTCCTCGGTCGTGGCAGTTCATTAGATAGTTGTTCTTTTTCACTCTGGTCCTTTATCCTGCATCCCCGATTGCCCGATGCTCTGGGCCGAACTGGGGGATGTTTCCAGATGTTCCGCAGGGGTACGACAACCCTGAGGCAAGCAAGGACTACAAAAAGTTGAAGGACATGACCGACGAGCAGCGCAGCGACGAGATCTTACGCCGCATCGGCAAGAACGAGCTCGTGCGCCAGTACGTCATCTTGAGCGAGACAGACCCAGAGGTGAGCTCTATCGGCAGCAAGATGATGCCTTTCATAGCAGGTTGCGTGTCTGCCTTGGAGCGGAAGGTCGCGACGGAGACCGCAGAGATGGCAGAGACTCTTGACCAGGGTCTTATTGTTGCTGGTGGAGCGGCGCTTGTTCTCATTGTTTTGTTTGCCACCGGCGTCATACCGTCCCCGATCGAGATTTTAGGCGCCATCTGGAATTTCAAAGTCTGAGCTAGGACTCGCGAATTCCGCAATTCTTGTCTCAAGTTTTCGCAATCGCTGTTTCTCCGAATGCGCGCTCTGCTGGACGCGCACACGCGCAAGTGTGGGTCATAAAGGATCACACAGTACATTGCGTATCCCCTCGAACATGTGGTCGAACGAACGGGAGGGCGACCGCATGTATGCCCTGTTGTGTTGTTGTTCCAGCCGTGCCGCATTGTGGCGAGTTTCCCGCCTTACCGCACCCCGAAAATTGGGCAGGGAGATGCCGAAGCTGTTCACGGCAGATCATTTGACTGCGTGTGAGCGTCAGCCCCCAAGGTTCTCCTTATCCAGCTGCCTGCGGCACACACACACACACACCGCGAGCACGGCAGCGCAGCAGGAAGGAGATTGAGTTTACCACCCTTTTCAGGTTCAGCGCCTTGTCTAAGTTGGCGCGTATCTGAAAGGTGCCTTCGTTATGCGCATCCAGTTTCTTACCTTGAGTTGTTGGTGGCTTGACTCAACGCGTTTCGGTTCAAATCATCCTGTCTCAAGCAATATGGCTCAATCCGTTTTGCACCAATTCCTATTCGTCTCCAGCCGCCGAGCTGCCGATCTTTTCAGATGCTAGACATCCGACGAGGGTCTCGAGAAGGGGCTGTTCCTTCAGAGTGTTCAATGGGGAAGTGTGTGTGGCCGGGGAGAAAACAGTTGAAGCGCTCTTTCAAGGCCGCTGAGCTGAAATTTCCAGCGCAGGTAGGATACGCGGGCAAAGGCAACGGTCACTGTCGCTGCTCGGCGAGATGTTCGAGGCGAAGCTGGAACCCGACGTCATCCTCGCTGCAATGCCTGGGGTCGCGGGTGCGAGCGACGCAACGAGGAGTCGGCGCGGGCGGCTCTAACGGGGCCATGGCCGTCTGTCTGCCCAGGACCGCCCGGCGCGGTGCGAATGAAGCAGCCAAACGGGCCATGACGCTTTTGAGCAGTCCCAGGTGGCGCTCATGTGCGCTCATGTGATCCCCACAGAAACCCCAAGAGGCATCCGGACGGACGCGGCCAGGGTCTCCGACAGCCAGAGAGAATGTTCAGCTTGCAGCTCCAGGTGGTTTCGAAAGAAGTGCGCCACCACCCCCCGAGACGGCTCCACAGCCTCACATGCCCACAGGAGAACCCCAGACGCCCCACCAGAAGAGAACAGGCGGCCCCGGTTATTCAGCCGCCGAGGCAGCCCCAAGACGGTTCGAATACAGACCCGGGCGGTTCCAGAAGTGGCCCCAGAAGTGGTTCTCGCCGTCTTGCTTGTTCAGCGCTACCATGACGGCCCAAGAGGCCCCCAAGACCAGCCCCGTGCGGCCCAACGGAGCCCCAGGTGGTCCGCAGCCATTTGTGATCAAGTACTTGGCCAAGGCGCCTCTGGATAAAGCCTCCCCGAGAAAGCCTCAGACTGGTGCTCCTGAGGAGCCATGCCGGCTTGCATGGGGATCAATGGCTTCGGCCGCATCGGCCGCCTCGTGACCCGCGCGGCGCTCCAGAACCCAGAGGTGGAGGTGAAGGCCATCAACGACCCGTTCATGGACCTCAAGTACATGGTGTATCAGCTCAAGTACGACTCTGTGCACAAGAGCTACCCTGGCACCATCGCCACCAAGGAGGCCGACGGCAAGGAGTTCCTGGTCGTGGACGGGAAGGAGATCGCCGTGTTCCACGAGAAGGACCCGGCGTCCATCCCATGGGGCACGGTGGGTGCCGCTTACATTTGCGAGTCCACCGGCGTTTTCACTGCCAAGGAGAAGGCCGAGCTTCACATGGGCGGCGGAGCCAAGAAGGTGATCATCAGCGCCCCCCCGAAGGACTCCGTCCCGATCTACGTCGTCGGCGTGAACCACACGGAGTACAAGACGTCCGACACGGTGGTGTCCAACGCGTCCTGCACCACGAACTGCTTGGCCCCGCTGACCAAGGTGGTGCACGAGAAGTTCGGCATCGTGGAGGGCCTCATGACCACGGTGCACGCGATGACCGCCACGCAGCTCACGGTGGACGGCCCCTCCCGCGGCGGCAAGGACTGGCGCGGCGGCCGCTGCGCCTCCCAGAACATCATCCCCTCCTCCACCGGGGCCGCCAAGGCCGTGGGCAAGTGCCTGCCCGCTGTGAACGGCAAGCTCACGGGCATGGCCTTCCGCGTGCCGACGCCCGACGTGTCTGTGGTGGACCTGACGTGCCGCCTGGAGAAGGGCGCGAAGTACGACGATATCGTGGCCGCCGTGAAGGATCAAGGGAGGAAAAACCACCCAGTCCCGACAATTACGTTTACTGAACGGCCCTGGGCGTTTACTAGACAGCTCTGCCTTGTTCGATTCCTTCAATGGGTCGTTACCTAAGCGGCTTCGCTTGTCGGGGTGATTAGTATGGGGGTGGATTTTCTGCCCTCTAAAGGAGGCGGCGGCGGGCCCGATGAAAGGTGTGCTGGACTGGACGGACGAGGAGGTCGTGTCCACCGATTTCGTGAGCTGCAAGGCTTCCTCCGTCTTCGACGTCGGTGCCGGCATCTCCCTGAACGACAACTTCGTGAAGCTGGTGACCTGGTACGACAACGAGTGGGGGTACTCCAATCGCCTTGTCGACCTGTGCTGCTACATGAACAAGATGGACAGTGCCTGAGGCCGCACCTCTTACAGGCGAGAGTATCGGGCGCTCACTAGGCATCTTACCAATCACATTACGTTGCATCGTCGGGGCACCTCGTCCGTCGCCAAATCTGGTGTCTTCACTTGGGCCCGACAAGGGCTCGATGCGGTCTCGACGCGGATTTAGCGTGCATTCTTCGCGGATTCGACGTGGATTCGATGCGGCCTCGACGAGTCCGACATGGATTCGATGGATTCGACGCGGACAGGGGCGTGACGGGACAGACAACGCCCCCCGAAAATGCAACAGAAGTCGCCGCGCCTCGATGCAGACGTGGTCAAGCCAGTCGATGAATTCTCTGGCCTCCCAGTGTTTGTGACGCCGCGGCGCTCAAGAAACTTTGCATTTGATCCACCCTGGGCTTCAGATGCCGACGACCGAAAAAAAGGGGAATCCCCAAGAGAACACCAATCGAAGAACAACACACGGCATCATCAGAAATTTTCGGAGCTCCGCGCGGAGACCTTGGATTTGCCCTGGGCGCCCCTGGCGGCGCCTCTGGCGCCGCCCCTGGCGCGCTCCCCGCGCTAGGGAGAGGGGTCCAGCGCCAGCCCAAGAAATCATCACGGACCTCCAGAATAGTGTTGCTTCCATTCTCGTGCCCCCCCGAAAGAGGACACCACGGCAGCCTCAAGAAGGGCCCCCCGAGGGCCCCGAGGCAGCCGCAGACCCGCTGCCTCCTCGGACCCTGCCGTGGGTGTCGGAGCACGGTGGTCCCTGCCGCACGCTCGGTAGATCCCGTTCTTTTTCTGTCCCACTCCGGGGCAGCGATAGGGGGGATAGGCACAGGGGGGGATTCACTTTGAGGGCCCCGGAAACGGCAGGGCCGTTTTTTCACAATTTCCAACAAAAATGTCCCTTGAAAAAGGAACGGCAAAAAAACGGCGACCGGAAACTGCAAAAAAACGGCTCCAGGATTGGAACCGGAGCCGGAACCGGTAAAAAAACGGCGACGGAACCGGTAAAGAAACGGCGTCGGAACCGGCAAAACAACGGCAAAACGGAACCGGTGAAAAAACGGCGCTGTCGTTTCCAGGGCCCACTGAGGGGATGCATCGACCCCAAATCGCCCATTGATCGCCGTTTAGTGTCCGATAGCCACAACCTTCCCAGGAACGTTCGGATTCACTATCGGAGGCCTATCGTCGATGTATCGGCGATGTATCGCCGATTCCAGGTCGCTGTTTCCCCCCCCTATCCCTATCCCCCCTTATCGTTGTCCCTCATCAAAGAGGCTCTCCCTCACCTCCACTGGCTCTCCAGTGCAGGTGGGGCTTCCTCGAGGTTGGCCCTGCAGAGCGCCCGAGTTTCCCCTGAAACCAGGCTGGCAGCAGCTCGGGCGCGGAGTGGCTGCCGCGGAGCAGGGCAGGAGCAGGAGACGGCGGAGGACAAAGGGGGAGGAGGACAGCGCAGTGTCGGTCGCATGCCGCCGCTGCGCTGCCGTCCAAGCGTCGCCGCATCCTCCTACGAGCAGGTGACAGGCGGGACTGGTTTCTTTTGTTCGTTGATTGTCTCTCTCCCTCTCTCTCTCTCTGGAGTAAGAGGAGAAGGAGGAGGAAGAGAAGAGGACCAGTGCAAACCTAAGACTCATCAGCGATTTTTCAATCAACTCTCCCTCCAGGTTCCCTCTTCATAGGCTCCTGTGAGGATATTCATCACTCTGGGAAGAGACTCTTGGATGCAAACCGTTTGAAAATCATCAACCGTGCCAAAGCACCATTCCTAGGACTTCGACGCCGCGAATCAACGCTACTGGTGCGACCTGACGGTCCTAAATCGCGCCAGAACATGTATGGGACGCGTACACCGCGAATCAGCGCTACTGTCGCGCCCTGACAAACCTAAACCGTGTTAGAAGACCACTTCTTGGGCGACAGCCATACGAATCTTTGAAACTGTTGTAGAACTGTTAAGACGAACGTGCGCGGCGCAGCGGCAAGAGCCACATTTTGAGAAATGGAAGCGCCCTCCATCTGTGAAGCCTCTGCAAACTTCCAATACGAATGTGCACGGCGCTACGGCGAGAGCTACAATTTGAAAAGGACCCGTCCTTCATGTGTGAAGCACGAATCTGTTCGGCGACAAGGCGAGAGCCATATTCGGAAAAAAAGGTCCGCAACCCGTCCGTGTACCTTTTGCGAACTCTTAAGATGCGCGGCGCTACGGCGAGAGCCACGTTTTGAAAACGACCCGCCCTCCATCCGTGAAGCTGCTGTAAATTACAGCATTCAGGACCATCCACCGTGAGGAAGTCTCCAGCGACACGTCCGGCCCCCCCTATGCTGACCCGCTCCGGGGCCTGACAGGGAGCAGGTACTAACAATGAAGAAGGATGGAGGACAAGACGAGGGAGGAGGTGCAGCAGCAGGAGGAGGAGGAGGAGGAGGAGGAGGAAGAAGGAGGAGGAGGTGGTGCAGCAGCAGCAGCAGCAGCAGCAGGAGGAGGAGGAGAAGAAGGAAGAAGGAAAGCTGAGCTGCAGCGCCGCCCCGGCCCCCCAACGTCCACAGAGGCCTCCAGATGCCTCCAGAGGCTTCACGCTGCCAAGAGTGTCTCAGATCTCCGCCCTTCGACGGCCGTGGGCAAAAGGCAGGTTGGACGGCGACCCCGAGGCACGACGTTGCAGAAAAAAAAGCATTGCAGCATCGCAGAACATCGCGACCGGAGCTTCGGACCCATCGTTCGGCGCCCTCTCTCGAGCCGGAGCGATCTGTGAGGGTCCGGGGGCCCGAGACCGAGCGAAAACGCCCGGTGTGCAGAACTGGCAGCGCCCGGATCCCAGGGACGGACGCTTGGAGGAAAGGATGGAAAGGATGGTCCTCGGGCCCCCTCCCTGGCCCCTTGGAGCACGACCCTGGGCGCGAGACGGCGGAGGGTCCTCCGCCTCCGCTGAGCCCCGCGCGCGCCCTGGCCGACGAGGAAGGAGGGACGGCGACGAGGAAGGAGGGACGGCGAGGAGGAGGACGGCGGCGGCGGCGTCGGCGGCGAGACCGACGAGGGCACTCCCGTGTCAGCGAGCGGCCCGCGCAAAGGTGAAGGTGCAGGGGAAGGAGGAGGACGACGGAGCGGAGGAGCACAAGGAGGGGGAATGAGAGGGACGAAGGAGGAAGAGGAGGAGGAGGAGGAGGAGGAGGAGGAGGAGGAGGAGGAGGACGAGGAGGAGGAGGAGGAGGAGGACGAGGAGGAGGAGGAGGAGGAGGAGGAGGAGAGGAGGAGAGGAGGAGGAGGAGGAGGAGGGAGGAGGAGGAGGAGGCGGTGCTCACGACGGCGGCGGCGGCGGTGACGATGGCGGCGCGCCCGCCGCGGCCCGCCGCGCGCCCAGGGAGCCCCCGGTGGACCTGCAGCTCGAGATGCCCCCGCTGCGCAGCTCGGCGGACGTGAGGGCCGTGGTCGCGGCCGCGGGGGACGCCCGGGGTGGGAGGCGGTGCGGGCGTCCGTTGTGGACTGTGAGCAGAAGGCTTCCGGCTCGGGATGGTTCCTGGTCTGATGGAGGCGGCGGTAACGTCCGTGGTTAAGCCTCAGTTGGGGCTCCGCTGGCTTCCAGACCCTGGACTTCTTAGGTGAGGCGGGGGAGGGGAGGGGGCGGAAGGCGAGGAGGAGGGGGCGATGGAGGAGGGAACGGAATCTTTGTCAACAACCACAACAACACCAACAGCAGCAAAAACAAAAACAAAAGCAACAGCAACACCACCACCAACACCACCACCACCAACACCACCACCACCAACAACAAATGCAACAGTCATCATACTAAGACTGTTCGCTGCGATTCGCCCCCGTGCCACTCAACACGTATTATCCCCAACCCTCGGTACCCGCCTTTTTTGTCTTCGATCGTATCCCCTAGGGGTATATCCTCCTTACCCGCCACGCCCATGCAGTGCAGACCCAAGGGAAGAGACGACGGAAGGAAGGCGGAGGGAGTAGGGTTGAGCACGAGAGAGATTTGCAGGAGGAGGGCTAGGAGCAGAAAGGACGTGGCAGAACCAGACGGGCAGATCGGGCTGGCAGATCCTGACGGGCGGGTCGGGAAGGCGGGCCCAGGCGGCGAGGTCGAGCAGGCGGGTTGCTGAAGCATGAGTCCTGCATGAATCGCGAGGAAGTCTTGGGGGATAGCGCGATTCCGAAGAAAATTGTGAGAAACACCAAAGCGAGAAGCGTGATTCCTGAGTGTCGAGGGCGCGGCGTTTGAATGCATCGCGAAGGAATCCCACGCGAGAGCCCAATTCCTGCATAAGTTGCGAGGAAGTCCCGCGCGAGAGCGCGATGTTGGAATACAGTGCAAGGAAGTATGAGGCGGCAGCCGTTGTTGTTGTAGCCCGGTGGCCAGTGGCCCATTTTGAGCACGAAGATTTTCTTTGTCGAAGGCAACAGGGTGCGAGCCTTGGGGGGGGGGCACGTCACATCAAAAACAAGCTGCGCACTGGTGGGGGGATATACAATAAGTAGTACCAATCGCTTCGCTCATTCAGCCGGCCGGTGCTGTGCCATCTCAGGCGTTTGCTTGCGCGTTCGTGGCCTCTTGGGGTGCCTTGGGGACCGTTTCGGGGCCTCTTGGGGCTTCCTCCGTAGCCACTGTGGTTCAAGATGTCTTCGCCCCGTGGCAGAGCACGGGGACCCTTGGTCCAGGGCCAGACCCCTTGTGGGCTCGTACCGGCGCGCGGGGCGCACCGGTGGCGGGCGGCGAGGGAGCGTGGCAGATCGAGGGGGCGGAAAGCGAGCGCCCCAGCCGAAGTTCGCCTTCGGGGGCGGCCAGAGCGGTGCAGCGACTTCGGCATGGCCACCATCAGAGCGTGAATTACCTACCCCGCTTTCGCGTCCAGGCAAAACCAAGCTATACCACGCGCCTCCTCGTCAGGCGGCCTGACCAGTACAGGCTGCAATTTGGCATCCTTTGGTATCTCTTGGAAGCGAGGGTGGTCAAAAGCGAGGTAGGTTTGTTTCCCCCCTACACCACCACGCACCGTGGCGGATGCAGGCAAGAAGGAGTCAGTGAACTTGAACTTGCGGTACTTGCGGTACGGGCAGCGACTGGGCATCAAGGGCGGCTTGTCGCAGGTGTGGTGCGGCCAGGCCGGGTGGGACGAGGCGCGGGTGCGGCAAGGGCCAGGGCCGGGCCAACTCGAAGCTGGAGGCTGCCCTCGCCGCCCGGCAGGCCCAGTTGAAGCTGCGCACGGTTGAGCACAACGAGCATCAGAAGCAGCTGGCGGCGGCGCAGACCAGCACGACGGGCGGGGTTCCCCCACCTTGGACGGCCGAGGCTGAAGGTGAGGGCAAGACAGAACTCGAGCGGATCCTGGCGCCTTCGGTGGAGCTCCCTGTGGGGCCACGATCTTCGTGAGGGGTGAGCCGAAATTGCCCGAGGCCGCCGCGCGATCCGTGCCGGTGGGGCTTTCGGTGGTGCTCCTGATGGGCCACGATCTTCGTCGGGGGTGTGCCGAGATGGCCCGAGGCCCCGATGCGGACCTTGCCATTGGGGCCTTCGGTGGAGCTCATTGCGGGGTCGCGAGACGCTGTGCCGGGCGTGCCGAAACAGAGACACGCGGAGGGCACAGCTGGGGGAAGACGAGGATGGAGAGGAGAGGAACGCGGCTCGTTGTCTCTTCAGAACGAGGACCCAACACCACAGGACGGTTGGGACAAACCTTCAGCATTTCGAGGGAAATCATAAGTTCCTGCCTTTGTGGGCCCTCTTGAGAGGTCTCGTGGAGCCTCTTAAAGGGTCTGTTGGGGCCTCTCGGGGGCCTCTTGGGGGCTTCTTGGGGGGATTGTGGGGCCTCCAGGGGACCTCTCTGCGCCTACAGCTCGACGTGTCCGCACGGGTCCCTCGACTGGGCCCGCTCTTGGTGCCGTCTTGGGGGCTTCTTCGGCCATCTCGGAAGCCTCTGGGGCTGTCTCGGGGCCCTCGGGAGCCGTTTTGGACGCTCTTGGAGGCCTCTTGGGCCGTGTTGGGCCGATCCTGGAAGGCTCTGGGCCGTCTTGGAGCGCCGGTAAGCTCCCAAGGACTCATATGACATCCTGAATGTCTGCCTAGGCGAGAACGCCAAAAACCTTCAAACACGATTGGGGAAATCATTAACTTCTGCATCAGTGGGACCTCTCGGGAGGTCTCTTGGAGGCCCCTTGGGGCGTCTTGAAGGCGCGCTGTGCCGTCTGGAGGCCGTCTTTGGCGTCTTGGGTCGCTCTTGGGGCGTCTCGGGCCATGTTGAGCTCTCTCGGAGGCCACTTGAAGCGCTCCTGGAACGCTCCTGGGAGCCTGCTGGGACCTGGCCGGGACCTGCCCGAGACCCTGCCGAGACACGAAGCACGGGGAGCAACGACATTTGGTCGCCCCTACCCCAACAGGAGTAGGAATGTAATGCCTACGTGAGAGGGGGCAGGAAAGTGGGGCGGATGAGCATAGGGCAGTAGGACTGAGGATTGAGGGCAGGAGGGACGGGTCGGAGGATTGAGGGCAGGAGAGTAGGGCGGATGAGCATAGGGAAGTAGGACGAAGGGGGATGCAAGGGGCGAAGACTCCGAATGCACATTTAGCCCCGCATCCTCAGAGAGCATCGTGTCTTCTTCGCATAGGTGTTCTCGCTGAAAGGGGCCGTACGTTCAGGAACTTTGTTCAGCGTGTCGCGCCGCCTGTTCTGGCCCACCACTGTCCGGCGCGGCATACGAATGGCTTCCAAAGTATTGAGCATCAGTGTCCCAAGTCTTTCCCAGCATCCCGACCCAACGCAGCGGAGCGACATGCTTTCCGTGCTCAGGGCATACCGTGTATCCAGGGTTGTTTCCGCGTCACGCTAAGCAACAATTCTTTGCCATACACCTGAGCTGACACGCGGTCGGAAAAGGGGGCTCAATTTCAGAATGGATCTCGACGCGGCGCCGCGCACACTCGTCCCAATTGCTTTCAGCAGCTGCACAGGGCGGAGGGCGGCCCGTTTTCAAGGCTTGCTTGTCGCGCAGCGCCGCGAACGTGCGGTTTGAGTCCAGGGCGCCTGTGGCGAACAGCCGCCGCCCCCTGCCGTTGGAAACGCCTGAAGTCAGGACTCTGGAATAGGGATTGCGTTGGGCTCCTGTTCTTGAGGGATGTTCGTGAGGGATGTTCTTCTGGCCTAAGTCCGACTATAGATGTTCCAGGGGGAAGGGTGGCTCCACTCCAAAGTCGAACTCTTGCCATGCGCATCTGCGGATCTAGCCGTTCGCACTTATGAAAGGCATCTCCCCTGAAGTCAAGACGCTGAAGTAGGGATTGCTTTGGGCTCACGGGGGGCTGTGGTTTTCGGGCCGCCTTTTAGATCTACGTCTGGGGTCCAGGAGGGTATTAGTGGCTGAAACTCACCGTGGCCAGAAAAGCCCATTCTTTTCTTACCTGTCGTCCCGTAGGAAAGCACGATGATTGCACGTGGCCTCTCATTCGGCAAAGGTCTGGTCATGCTGTTTCACTTTGTGTTCGCCCAGCCGTTGTGAAAACCCTTGGGCGAACATTCGGAGAAGGAAGAGAGAGAGAGAGAGAGAGAGAGAGAGAGGATGAGGAGAGGGAGGAGGCATCTTGGGGCCATCTAGGATCATCCCTGGAGCTCCGGTGGGCCTCTTGGGGGCTTTTGGGTGGCCTATGGAGGCCTTCCGGGGGCCCTCTGGGGTCTGGGGGCTTCTTTGAGGCTTCTTCGGGCGCCTTACGGCCGTCTTGAGGACCTCTTGGAGCCATCCTGGGAGCCACTTTGGTCGTCTTGGGACCCTCATCGGCCGTGTTGGATCACCCTTGAATGATTCTTGGGCCTTCTTGGAACTATATTGGAGGTTCTGGGGCCGCCTTGAGCTGTCGGAAGCTGGCAAACATAGGGCAACATCAGCGATTTTGCATCATTCGGGCCTCCTGGAAGGCCTCTTGGAGCCCTCTTGGGCCATATTGGGAGCCTTCTGGGCCGTCTCGAGGACATCTGATGCCGTGTTGGAGCCACCCTGGGCCGTCTTGAGGCAATCTTAAGCACTAATGTCATCATGGCCGTCTCGGGATCGTCTTCGAGGCCATCTTGGCACGTCTTCGCCGTCCTGGAGCGCGTTTTGGAGGCATATTGGGCGGAGAAGCCACTGGCAACCTGTCTTTCTGGTGGCCTGCGGGTTGGGCCAGAGGCCATCGGGAACCCCTCGGAGGAGCCAAACAGGTGCCTGAGAAGGCTGGCGCGCAAAGCACGGGGGCGGCTGCCTTGTGAAGCGGTGGAACAGTTTCGTGCGCACAGCGTGTTTCCAGCCTTCGCATGGATGATGGCTGGCACCTGTTCAAAATGCTGCCATCGCTTGGGAGATCTCCGGATGAAACGGCAATGGACATTCCAACGCTCAATCGTGTCGGGCTGGTTCCCGCCTAAGGTTTCAACGCATGTTGTGTTTCTAAGTATGGGGGTGATGCAGTGGGACCGAGGTATCAGATCGAGGCCAGTTCGGGGAGGGTGCCATAAGGTTCTTCGGAGATCTGTTGGATGTTCTTGTGCATCCTGCGGAGGGTACCTTTGGATGTTCTGTCTGCTTTGGCCGACGGGGGCGGAGGGCGGCCCGTTTTCAAGTTGTGCTTGTCGCGCAGCGCCGCACACGTGCGGTGTGAGTCCAGGGCGCCTGTGGCGAACCACCGCCGCCCCCTGCCGTTGGAAACGCCTGAAGTCAAGACGCTGGAATAGGGATTGCGTTGGGCTCCTGTTCTTGCGGGATGTTCGTGAGGGATGTTCTTCCGGCCTGAGTCCGGCTGTAGATGTTCCAGGGGGGGGGGGCGGCTCCTCTCCAAAGTCGAACTCTTGCCATGCGCCTCCGCGGATCTGGCCGCTCGTCCTTCTGAAAGGCATCTCGCAGTTGCCCGTGTGGAGGGCGGCGTCTATCTACGGTCACGCTCTCGCACTCGGGCCGCGCAGCTGCTCTTGCCTTTCGACAGAGTGCACGTGCGAGTTTGGGGGTTCATTCGTGGCCCATTTCGTTGTTCCCACTCTGCCATCGAGCATTATGTTGCCGCGCGTCCCGGCCTTCACAGCGGGAAGTGGCAACCGAACTTGCCCTGGTCCAGAAAGTGAAACAGCCGGGACTCAATGGTCCGCCCAACCCTCGCCGGCGGCGGAGGAGAGGGGGGAGGACAGGTCAGGTGCGCTTGCGTCAGATGGAGGAAAGAGGCGGAGGAACAGGTGCGGGGCAACGTCCCCACGGGGGTATGCGGTCGAACGTTCATGTGACTCTTGATGCGCATTTCCAGACACATACGGTCGGACATTTTAGCTGAGCGAGTCGCGCCGCGGGTTCTGGCCCATCACGCCTCAGCGCGACGCGCTCAGCACGTCCCAGTCCCCGAGCGTCAATGTGCCGAGCCTTTCCCAGCATCCCGCGTCACGGAGCAGAGCAACATGCCATCCGCTTGAAAGGCATATCGTGTCGCCAGAGCCGCCGCCGCAACACGCTAAGCGAAAGTTCCCAACCTTTGCGCTCTCACTGAGGAGGTCGTAGTTCAGGACAGATCTGCACTGACCCGTGCAGCGTCGGTGGCCTGTGCTGGATTTGCCATGGCCCTTCTCTTCCTGACCCTGGTCCTCGCACCTCTGACGTCGAGTAAGAACAGGAGCACAAACGTCTTCAGGAGAGGAAAACACACACAGCCACAATTAATGGTCGACTCCCAGGAAAATATGGGAAGAGGGGGGGGGGGGGAATACGAGGACCCAGAACAGATTGGAACATATGGGGAATCCTGGGATTTGCATCGATTTATTTGTGTGTCCCTGGGCGCTCTTGACGTCATCTGTCGGAGGTCCGCGTGGATTGATTTGTTCTGCGCTGGGAACCCCTAGCACCGCCCCTGGTGCGCGGAGCGTGCCAGGAGCACGCCAGTGAGGGGAGCCCAGAGCCGATACAAGAGATCCGCGTGGGCCTTCGCAAGCTAGTGTTAAGTCGGGCATGTCCCTCTACACGAGGAATACGCAAAACTAGTACAAACATAGTCTGGTAATGTTCTGTTTGTTTCTGTTTTGACTCTTTTGATTTTTCATGCCAACATCCGCCTGTAGGAGGACATGCCCGACCTTAAGCTAGTGCTGATGCTGTATTTTTGACCGGTGCTTCCCTGTTCTGTTCGCAGTCTACCACCTGGCAGGGGTACTGTCTTTGCGGGGACGTTGTACAGTTTGAACCGTGTTCGTATTCACTTCACGAGGAGTTGTATGCAGTCGCCTTCTGAGTGAGTGGTTACGCGGGCTTTTAGTATCATGTCGTCGGGGCCAGGAGCATATCCACCATATGCTGTATGTCTGTCTATCACGTAGTCGCGAATTGGCGGCCCGAACGCAGTTAATAGATGTTGTTTCCAACGTCTGTCTTCCTGAGAAGCGGCAAGCAAATCGTACTGCGAAGCCCCATGGGTCGGGGCCCAGGCGCCTAGGTGTGTGTTACGCGCTGCTCCCATGCGGATCCGTCTGGAACTTCTCTGGCTCTGTTTAGGAAGTTGCCGTGAGGAGAGCACTCTCCGATCATGGCCCGTGCGCTGTAAGCTTGTGGGCTGACCGGGCAGGACGCCGTGAAGACGCTCACCGTCGGGCCGTGGGGCGCCCCGGAGCGACGGCCGCCGCCCCCTTTTCGGGAGCGGAAAAGAGGGGGGTGATGACTAGGGGGGGGTGGATTTCATGGCGCGGGCCATGATTTTTCCTCAGATTTCATGGCGCCTCTTCTTATTTCATTACGTCCCTGGCCCCCCCGCTGGGCCGCGCACATGCCGCCGGTCATGATTTGCACCCCCCCCTCTTGGACACCCCCCTCTTTGCCGCTCCCGACCTTCGGGACTTGGGAGATGGCAGACTTGGGAGATGGCGCCGTGTTCCTTCTTGAAGCCGGCGGGGGGTGTGAGGTGGCCCACAGCAGTGATTCCCGCGAGCAGGAAGGACCGTGTCGTCGAGTGTCTGGGACGCCCACACCCGCGCCTTTTTGGGGGCTGGGAGTCCCAAGAGATGCCGGCACTGCAAGCAAATGTTGCCAGCAATTCAGGGCGGTCTCAAAAATTCTTGGCAGGGCCCCGGCGAAAGCCCCGCTGCCGCTGCTGTTGGCGAGCAGACGGACGAGCAGAATTGGTCGGAGTTCCGCGGGGATGCACATATGTGTGTATGCGCCACGCTGGTCCCGGGCGGGCCGTGCTGCCCGGCGGAAGGGGACGAGGACGGGAGAAGCAGGCAGACGACGACGAACGCCCAGGCGGGAGGCCACGGGCCGTCTTCGGTCGCCAGGACCACCAAGATTTGATCCAGGGTGGAAAAGTTGTCCCAGGTGGACCCCAGGAAGGGTCCAGGTCTGGGGTCCGATTTTGATCGGATTTGGCGCTCCCCCCCTCCTAGACGAATTTGCAATGGCCCCGTGCTGCGTCTTAAAAGGCTTCCAGAGGGGATATGAGCGAGGTGTTCAACGGGGGCGTGACGCCGCGAGGTCACTAGTGAGGACGATCATAGGCATGACCAGTGGGGACCGCCTTAAGGCCGCACCCCACCTCAGCTTCCATCATAGGGGCTGCGGGGGCAAATCCCCGCGACCCGAGCACCGACGACGGACGTCCAGGACGACGATTCCGGCGGCGACGACGACCACGACTGGGACTACCAGTACGAGTGGGCGCAGCTGCACGAGTGCGGGGGGGTACGTACGTGGGACGCGTGCTGCCTCTCAAAGGGCTTCCCCTGGGGGATATATGTTCAACAGGGGCGTGACGTCGCGAGGTGGCAGCGGGTGCGGCGTGAATTCCCGCCTTTGGACCGCCCGCTTCTTTGAAAGAACGCGTTCTACCGCTGCTGGCGGAAAACCGGGGGAAGTCACTGGGGGGTCCTAACCCGTCCCCCCCCCCCCCCCCCTTGGAAAACCGGGGGGGGGGTTCGAACCCCCCCCGGGCCCATCATGAAAAGAGGGGGGGTCACTGGCGGTTCGAATCCCCCCCCCCCTCGCCGCCGGCAAACAATTCCCGCTCCTCGGGACAGTGGGGCAGTGGTGGGGACACTGGGACACAGGTGGGGACGGCGGTGGTGGGGACAGTGGTGTGGGGACAGTGGGACAGTGGTGGGGCATTGGGGACACTGGGACAGTGGTGGGGACGGTGGTGGTGGGGATAGTGGGGACAGTAGGACAGTGGTGAGGAGGGTGGGGACGGTGGTGGTGGGGACAGTGGTGAGGGCAGTGGTGAGGACGGTGGTGGTACAATGGGGCAGTGGTATAGTGGGGGCAGTGGTGGGGACAGTGGTGGGGACAGTGTGGACAGTAGTGGGAACAGTAGGTCAGCTTAGTGGGACAGCGGCGGGGACAGTGGGGGCAGTGGGACCATGGAAGGGACAGTCGGGACAGTGGGACAATGGTGGGGACAGTGGGGAAAATGGGGAGAGTGGGACCGTGGGAACAGTGGAGGGAACAGTGGGGACAGTGCGGCAGTGGTGGAGGCACTGGTGGGGACAGTGGGGGCAGTGGTGGGAACAGTGGGGACAGTGGGACAGTGGTGGTGGGGGACGGTGGTGCTGGCGACAGCGGGTGAGGGCGGTGGTGAGGACGGTGAAGGGGACCCCGGAGTCGTTTGCCGGCGGTGAGTGGGGGGTGTGGGGGGGGGCTCGAACCGGTAGTGACCCCCCCGCGGTTTTTTGGAGGGGAGGGGAGGGGGGGGCTTCAAAACGGTAGTGACCCCCGCGGTTTTCCAGAGAGGGGGGGGGGTAGGGGGGAAGGGGGTTTTGCAAGGGCCGGGAGGGGGGGGGGTCTCGAGCAAAGGAGTTGGGATTTTTAAAGGGGGGAGGGGGGGGGGACCCCCAGGGGGGGGGACCCCCCGGTCTCCAGAGGAAGAGGGGTGGGGATTTTCCACAGTAGAGCGGCGGTGGATCACGCTCTATCGCTTCTTTTGATCGCGGGCTCTCTCGTGCCTGTGTTTGGACGATGGTTTTAGTTTCCCCTGGTGCCCTTCTCAGGAATCCTTCTTCTTCCCCACCGGCCAGGAAGCGAGGACCATCATTGGCATTACCAGTGAGGACTGCCATGAGGCTTCACACCGTCCGCAGCTTCCATCACATGGGAGCGTGCTCTCCCCAGGCCGCCTCCAAGTGCGGGGCCTTCCATCCGGGCCTCCCACCTGGGACCAGACTAGATTTACTCGCGGGGTCGTACCGCATCGCCGATGCATCGGCGGCGCGGCGTGATCTGAAGATTTGATCTGTTACATTCCGACGTCGCCGATGATTCGCCGACAAATCGCCCAGTTTCCTTCCTCCTCCTCCTGCCTTTCGCCTCCGCGCGCCCGGGGACCCCCTAGGTGGGCTGGCCGCCACTCGGGTCTCTGCTGTCCCACGGGCGCGCTTTGCCCTGTAAGCGCCCGTCCGCGGCCCCCCATGGGGGCAGCGGTTCTTCTCGGGGGGATCTAGCCAGCCAGGACTGCGTCAGGTTTGCATCATGGGCGCCAGCAGCAAGGGTGGATCATGGCTCGGAGTGGCCACGCGGGGTGCCGTTTTCCACGGAGGGGCGCGCCAGCCCCTGTTGGAGGCCATTGGGGCATATAACTCCGAGGATGGGACAGCCGAGCTGGCCAATCGGGCAGCCTTCCTGGCGGCCCGGGCGGCCGAGGCTGCGGGGCGCGGGATGGGTTTGCCGGGGCGTGTGTTGTTGACGACGCTTGCTCATCATCAGTGGATGCTCACCTTACACGGGAGCCCCTGTCGTTGGGCGGTGGCCCTCCGGCAGGCGCGCCAGTCCAGCTTCCACCGTTTGGGACCGGGCCTCCTCACAAAGGGCCTCCACAGTCAACCCGCATCGTAAGGATGGACCACTTTCCAGGGTTACCCTTGCATCCTTCCCCTTCGGTCCATCCTTGGCCGCTTTCACTGGCCGCGCCCCGCCCGCAAACTGTCGACATGGCCCTCGCGCGTCCTTATCACATGGGTTGTCTGTAGATCGGAGGAGCGGGGACAGAGGCGGTGGAGGAGGCAGACGAGCGGGCCGGCCAGGCGGCCTCCGCGGGCGCCTGGGCGCGGGGGAGCTCTGATGCAGTTTCCTTTCGGTCCAGGTTGTGTTGGTATCCCTGGGCCTCGTTGAGGCACGAACAGAAGAAGGGGCAGAGTTTGAAGTGATATGGCTTCGGGGCGCCTTGACCACACTGGTAGGACCAGAGAGCTGGTGTACCACCACGGCGTACGACTCGAAAGGACGGAGACGATGCTACATAACTGTGAGATTGCTGGAGCGCTTCCCGGAGACCCCGCTGGCTCTGGAGCACAGGAATGCTGCGCCAGTCGGCAGGCCGTGTTAGCGTGAGCGCCGCTGATGTGGACGACTTCGTGCTCATGTGCTGTGGTCGCCCTGCTCCTGCGGCTACGGATGCGATTGGCGTCCCGATGTTCCTTTTCCAGCTGGCGCGCTCTGGCGAGGGCGTGTCCTGGCGAAGAGGAGTGGGCGAGGCCTTGGCCACGCACCACATCAGTCGTGGCGTCCTCGCTCGAGCATGCGGTTGCGGCAAGGTGGCATGTGCGAGCAGGGTGGTCGGCGGCACGTGGAAGAGCGCAGCTGGCACGCAATGCAAGCCTCCTCCTCCTCCTCCTGCCTCCTCCTCCTCCTCCTCCTCCTCCTCCTCCTGCCTCCTCCTCCTCCTGCCTCCTCCTCCTCCTGCCTCCTCCTCCTCCTGCCTCCTCCTCCTCCTCCTCCTCATTGCCCTCCTCGTTATCCTCCCTCCTCATCCTCGCGCGTGGCCGACCCTCCCCTCTCATCCTCCCTCCTGGCTCTCACGTGGTACGTAAGAAGACGGGGGCGTTCCCGGCAGCGGGTCCACACCTCGAACCAACGCATTTTGGAAGAAAGGTTCTGCCGGGTCGCCTGCTGCAGCGCCGCCTGGTAGCTAAGGGTCGCCGCTCGAGCGTCCATTCAGCAGGTCGCACGTGAGCCAGCTGCCTGTAGACTGGCAGCGCGGCCAACGGCACGGGCCTATCCTCGACATTGATGATGGCAGAACCTGGTCGTTAACAGGTTACAAATGCTCAGGGAGGTGGCAGAATCCGGTCTCAGGCTCGTTGAAGACGTCAAGTGTTGAAGACAGTAGCTCATTGGTTATAATTGGTCCCGAGATCGTAGAGTATTACAATTGTTGAAGACAGCAAATTGGTCATCAACTGTGGTTGCAAGGGGGGGCGCCCAAGGGGTGGGGGGCGGCATGTGGCTGTGGCTGTGTGTGTGTGTGTGGGTGGGGGGTGGTCGCAAGGCCGAGGCCGTGACATCTAGCCGACTTCGCGGCGCCCTCTTCTTCTTCTCCTTCTGCTTCCTCTTCTTGGTATTTTGGTTGCTTGGTTGCATATGCTCGCGGAGGTGCAGATATTCGTAATATTCTCTATTCGCGAACGTTATGACGGTTATGAGCCGCGTGCGCTCTCGATTCACGCATGCTGAGTAGGGGTAGCATTCATTTTTGGGAAGTCGACATCCAGGCCGATAAGTCCGCCAGCAATCATGCGAATACGTTCACCGAACGCACCCGCGCCACCATTCTCCAGCATTGAATGAGGCAGTTCGATGGACGTAATGGCCTTGGCGGGGCAATCGTATTGTATGGAGCTGAAGGCTTGCGCCAAGACTCGTCGCAGGGGTGGACACAGGACTCAGAGCTCCGTTTTGCATTCTTCTGCGAAGCAACAGCGCCAGCTGCATAAGATGAAATTGGTTCGTGGGTCGTCACGTGCTTGCGAGCGCGGTATGTTGGACGTCGATTGCGCAGCACTGCTTGCTGATACGGAGGGGGACGCTGGACACGCGCCCTGGGCGTTCCGAGATCTTTCGGGTATTTTGACAGATACCCGCGCGCGCTTGCACGAGTGATGTTCTGCCAGCGTGCTTTGTTGGTGAGGGTCAGACCATTGAGTAGAGAATGCAGCTTCGCCCGCTCAGTCCTGAGCGCAAAGGCGCCGGGTAGGGAACAGGAGGGGCGGGGGATCAGCACACTACCAAAGTCGATGCTACCAGCGAGCTATCAGTTCAGCCCGGTGCATCTAGGGGCATGTCTGACCCTCCGACGCTACGCGTCCTGGAGGGGGAGGGGAATACTGGGGGACGGAGGGAGGAGGGAAGGAGGGCGAGGACGTGTGGGAGTAGGAGGTAGCGGAGGGCCGGAGAGCAGGAGTGGGTTATCGTGAGAGGATGAGGCTCGGATGGATTGAGCAGGGGCGGGTGGGCGGAGCATGGGTTGAGAGGCGGGACTAGGTTTGGGTGTAGATGATGATGGTGATCATGATCATGATGATGATGATGATGATGATGATGATGATGATGATGATGATGTTGATGATTATGACCATGATGATTTTGAAGATGCTGATGATGATGATCATGATCATGATGATGGTGAAGATGCTGATGATGATGATGATGATGCTGATGATGATCATGATGATGTTAAGATGATGGTGATGATGATGACGACGATGACGATGACGATGACGATGACAATGACATTGCCATCGGCATCTTCATCCTCATCCTTATCGTCATCTTCATCGTCATCATCCGAATCGGCAAGGAAGAATAGGATGCAGTGAACGGTGGCTGAGGGCGCCGTCGTGGGCTGGGCCGGCGGCGGGAGCCGTAGCGCGGGAGGAGCCAGCTCAGACATGCGACGTCTGGATGTTTTCAATACGGGGTCCCTAGAAGTCCAGACCCATTCGCCCAGACCGGTTTTTCATCCTGATTCGTCGTTTGACGGTCCCGAGGCCCGGCGAGGGCTTCCCGAGACCATGACGGGGAGGAGGACAGGGAAGACGATGAAGATGACGACCATGATAAAGAGGATTGGCCTCATGGTAAGTCGTCCACCTCTCTCGTCCTTGCCGCCCCCCCCTGCGTTCTCCTCCCCCAGTCCCCCCTCATCACCATTCCCATCCCCAACCGTCTTCCCGCTCCCCATGCAACCACCCCATCTCCTTCCGGCCTTCTCCTCTTCGTGATCTTCATCATCGTCCTCTTCGTTTTCCTCGTCCTCCTTCGTGCCCGACCTAATGTGAGGAAGCTCGCGGTGTGGATCGAGCCTTTGTTGCGCGCGCCGTGGGAAGTTGCCAATCCTTGAGATAAGCCTCTCTTCTCTAAGTCGCCACCGCGAACAGGAGGACGACCCTGGGGAAGCAGGAGTCTCCCAGGATGCCGAGGTGGCGCTGTGGGCGATCGCGGACACCGCGCATTCATGGTCCATGGCCGAAGAGCCCCGCGGAGATCAGAGGAGAGAGAAGGGGGAGGGGGATAGGAATGGCGAGGAATTGTAGGTGGTGATATGGGTTTATGGAACCATCGAAGCGCAACGACACGGTATGTGCAGCGCTTGGGCCAGGACGGAAGCAGCACGCAAAGCATCACCCTGACCTCCTTGCGCGCTTTTCCTTGCCTGCTCTTCTGCGCAGAGCGCGCATCGAGCGCGCATCGAGCGCTTCCCTGTGAAATGCCTACCGCCTGCACGCCTGCCTGAGTGCCTGCCCGCATGCCTCCGTTCTCTGACGTGTCTCGCTCTCCCCCGCTCCCCCTCCACCCCTGTCCTGTGGAAGTCGATTAACGGAGAGGAAGCGTGCTGCCAAATGATTTCCAGCTGTCAAAAAAAGTTTCAAACATGCTTTTCGTTGAAACATGTTTAGAACGTGTTTAACATTTGGAACACATTCTCCATTCAATGAGAGGATTGTTAGAGTGTCCATTGGCATGGCATCCACAACCCTGCCCATATATGAAAGCCAAGACGCTTCTGAAGCGCCCATGGCCTTGTTAGAGGCGCCGCCACGTCGCGAAGGGCCCGAACGGCTGCTCTTGAACAGTTCCGTGCGCTTGCTGAGGTCATGGGTAGGCTCACCCGTCTAGAGCGACGCACAAAGGGTGAGGCGAGCTACCAAACAAACAAATTAGAGCCAAGACGCTGAAGCCACGACCACCTGGGGCTCCGGTTTTCGGGCCCTCGGTGGAGCTCCTTTTGGGGCCAAGGAACGTGAGAAGGGTGTGACCAAATGGGGGTGGTGAGGAGGGAAGAGGAGGGAGGAGGAGGAGGAGGAGGAGGAGGAGGAGGAGGAGGAGGAGGAGGAGGAGGAGGAGGAGGAGGAGGAGGAGGAGGAGGAGGGGGAAGGGAGCAGGACGGAGACGCGGGGCGCTGTCTCTTCAAAACGAGGACCCATCACCACAGGATGGTTGGGGACAACAATTCGAGCCAAGACGCTGAAACCGCGACCACCTGGGGGCTCTGGTGTTCGGGCTGTTTCGCAGATCCAAGTCGTGGAGCCCCTTCGGGGCCGAGGCGCGCGGCGGCCGGAGCAGCCCCTCGGATTCGGGGCTCCCGATGGCACGGTCCAAAAACACAGAAAGGATGCAGCGCGTTGCAAGGCTAGCCTCGAGTCCCTGACTGTTCGACCCTCCCTGAGCCAAGTCAGACGTCCAAAGACGTCCACACTGAACGTCCAAGGGCCTCGCGCCTTCATCTTGCACCCTTGCTGCTGAGTTGTGCACCTCTACCTTGCGTCCTTATTCTGGATCCTTACCTTGCATCCTGACTGTCGTAAGATGTCTGCTTCATCCCCTCCTCCGCTGCCGCTCTGGCCCCAGCCCCCCCTGGGCAGCCGTCGCGCAATCTCCGCGCTTCCGCCGCGCGCGCTCTCCACAGCAGCAGGCGGCCCATGGACTGTGTGCTCACCAGCTGGAGCGGCTTCGCGGCGCTCGCCGCGCACTCGCGGAAGCAGCTCTGCGCTGGGCGCGCGGGCGGCGAGCCCGTGTCGAGGGAGCCCAGCACGCCCCACGTGCCGCTCCAGGTCGGGCGGAGAGATCTGTGCACGTACACGGGTCCTGTCCATCAGAGGAGGGGAAGATACCCCTACCACTGCCCTTTGCCCTCGTCGCCACCCCTGGATTCGCCTCGAAACTGTTGTCAGAACGCACGCCGGGAGGGGTCCGGGGAGCAGCGGTATCGGTATACCTTTTGGTTTCCCCAGTCCAGGCCCAGCCCGCTCTCCGCAAAACTGCACACAGGGGCCGAGAGAGCCCGGAGGGCGCGTGCGCCGCTCCGGGGGCCCTGCGGGGGCCCCTGGCCTTCGGGCGGGCGCACGTGCACAGCTCCCTCGAGCTCCGCTGCAAGGGAGCGGCCCCGGAGCCCGGCTCGCCCCGCGGGGGGCGGCGGCTGGCGGAGGAGCAGCTCCGACGGCAGAGGGCGGAGGCGCAGGCCGCGGCGCTGCAGGCGCAGCTGGACGAGGAGCGGGCGGAGAGGCCCTCCTCCTCCTCCTCCTCCTCCTCCTCCTCCTCCTCCTCCTCCTCCTGGGCCTCCCCGATGGGGTCCGGGCGGGTGGGGTCGGAGGGTCGCGCCGCCTCGCGGATGCAGCGGCGATGCGGCGCGAGGTCGAGCCCGATCTGCTCCACGCCGGCGGCGCGGGTGCATCGCCGATGCCCGGCCGATGCCTCGCCGATGCCCCGCCGAGGCATCGGTGATGCGTCGGCGATGCGGCGCGACCCTCCGGCCCCGCCTGCTCGGACCCCAGCTGGGCGGCCCTTCGAGGCGCCTCCTGGAGCAGCGAGGCCATGCCTGGTGCGCGGCCTCGGAGGACCGCCTCGCGCTGCGGGCGCGGGTCGCGGAGCTCGAGGCGGAGCTGGCCAGGAAGAGCGGCGAGCTGGACGCCGTGCACTCCAGCCAGAGGAGGGCGAGATGAGACAACGACGGTCCCAGACCCCTCGAGCAGTGCAACAATCACGACGGGAGGTTTGTCGCTATGTTCGGCCTCTGGGAGCCTCAGGACCATCAAAAAATTATTCAGGATGAAAAACCGGTCCCGGGGAATAGGTCGAAACCTCTGCATGGGGTTGGCCGTCATGAAAAAATCATGACGTCGGGGGTCTGGGGTTGGCCTTCGGGGGGGGGTCCTCCTCAGAGATCCGACGTTGCGTGACTCACGACCGGAGGTCCAGACCCCATCTTTCTGCGTCCTTTTGCGAGCCGGATCGGTATGTGAGGGTCCTGGGGCCCGAAAACCAAGGAAAACGCCCGATGCGAAAAAATTGCACGGCCCGAATCTCAGGGTCGCGCCACGTCTGGACGCAGGTCGGAATAGTGGTGCGTCTGGACCCCATGGGCGGGGTCCAGGAACCGATTTTGGGGCTGCCGGTGTCTCCTAACTTTGCCTTGCTCCGAAATCAGGCGGGTGGTGCCCAGCCTTCACGGCGACCTCTCCGAGCGGATCGCCATGGAGCGCGCGGTCTGCGACCTCCAGGATGAAGTCGGGCACGTCCCTCTACAGGAGGAAAATTCAAGGGTGGTCAAGAAATAATCCGGTGACGGCGATTTTTGGATTACTTTTTGACAATTGGTGAACATGTTTTGATTATTTGCTTCATCCAAAGTCCGCCTGTAGGAGGACATGCCCGACCTAAGTCCAGGACCAGCTGGTCCGCGAGATCTCTATGCGCACGGAGTTGCAGTCGATGGCGTTCCACCGGCGACCGCCCAGTTGCAGTACGGAGTCGCCTGGATCGTGGGCGTCGAGCTGTCGACTGCTCTCCGAGCCTCGAGGAAGAGCAACTCCGCACAAGCTGGAACTTTCGCAGCTTCGCGCTGCTTTCTGGGACTTGCTCATGGCCCCCCTGGGGGGCCCTGAGGGGGCCGCGCTCATCTTCCTTCATGGCAAAATCATTGATTTTACGAAGGTTGTTGGCTCATTTTGTCCTTCTCAGGGGGCAGCGCTCCTTTGCGCTTCTGAGGAGGTCGCAAGAAGCCCCCAGATGGCCCCAAGAGGCCACCAGGAGCCTCCCAAGAGGCCTCCAAGAGGCCCCCAAGAGGCCTCGGGAGCGGGGCCGTCCGCCGATCCCAGGAATCCGGGCGGAGCTCCGGAAGTTTGTGCTTTTACACGGCTGTTCCCTTCCTCCGCAGCCCGCGTCGCCGGCCCCCGGCAGCCCGCCGCTCGGCTTCCCGGGGGGGCTCGCTGCCGCGGCTCCGACGCCGCCGCCTGCCATGCCGGTGGCCTGTGCCGTTCCGCCGGCCCCCGGGCGAGCGAGCTCCGCGAGCAGCAGGCGCTCGCGCGAGAGAGGATCGGGCCGGACGAAAGGGGGGGAATCGGGATAGGGCGGGGGGGGTACGAAATCTGTTGCATGCAGCTGGTTTCGGCCTCACCGAGGGGCCCATTCCTCGATACGTAGCCGTCTCCGGCGCCGGGAGGCGCCGGGAAAATCAGCTATGCGTGAGCTGGTTCTCACCCCCCCCATTTGCTATCCCCCCCTTTCGCCCGACCCGAGAGAATCGGCCAGGGTTCTTGGGGCCGCCATGAGGCCACTTTTTTTTGGGGGGGGGGGGGCGCGGAGGGCTTCGGATGGCGGCGAACGGATGAACAGATCGGGCCCCCTGAGTGGTGCTGCGCGGCGTCGGAGGATGCCCGTCATGTGCTTGCTCAGCTCAGTCGTTCCAGACCCTCCTTGGGTTGAGTAGCCAATCTGCTCAAGGAGCACTCACTGTGCTCTTCTCCGCCTCATTCCCCGCGCTCCCCTGGGAGGGGCGCGCGCTGTATGCACCGCCAGGGGCGCAGCCTTTGGGCGCCATCATGTCGCCTCGGCACGCGCCGCCGCTCGCACGCGGGCGGCGTAAGTGGGGCGCCCTACACCTTAGGCGATGCTTAAGAAAACCCAAGTTTTCGGCCAGAGTCTCGATTATTCTTAATGTTTCGATGTAAATCCTAAGATTTGAATGGAAATGTTGGGTTTTTATTCAAATTCTGAGACTATGAATTTCTTAACCCATGATTTCTAAAGCATTTCGCAGGGTGTAGGGGACAACTGAGCAAGTGCAGCGTGTCAAGATGCGCGTCCAAAGCACTCCCCCATAAAGCGCGAGATTTGTGCCAGCTGAGCAAGATCAGCAGCCGCAGCTGCTGCAGCAGCACCAGCCGCAGCCGCAGAAGCAATATGAGGAGCAATACGAGGAGCAATACGAGGAGCAAGGCGAGGAGCGGCCGCGGCTGCAGCCGCAGCAGCAGTACGAGGAGCAAGCTCCAGGTGGAAGGTCGGGATCCCTCCTTGCCGGCCTGGGGCACAAGATCTCAGGACACAGGTAGGGGGCCACATGTGAACCCTACCCCTACCTCCCACGATTTCCGAGGGGGAGGGTGGGGTTCACTTCGCTCGTGAGCTCCCGAGCGAAGTGAACCCCGCCGTCCCCCTCAGAAATCGTGGGGGGCAGGGGTGGGGTTCGCGTGGCCCCCTAGCCGGGGGCCACGTGGGGGGCGTCCTGGGTCTGGGGCCCTCGACGGGCTTGGGGCTCCTGCCTTCAGCCTGGATTTGTGAGTTCTGGAGAGGTTTGGGGAGGAGGAGGAGGAGGAGGAGGAGGAGGAGGAGGAGGAGGAGGAGGAGGAGGAGGAGAACGACGAGGAGGACGAGGAGGACGAGGAGGACGAGGAGGAGGAGGAGGAGGAGGAGGAGGGAGAAGAAGAAGAAGAATAAGAAGAGGAGGAAGGAGAGGAGGAGGTGGAGGAGGAGGAGGAGGAGGGGGAGGGTGGGGACAGGGGAAGGGGAGAAGCCAGCGAGACGTCCTCCGCGCGTGGCCACCCGCTCGCCTGCGGGAGCCAGCGGATTCCGCGAGTCGCGGGGCCACCTCTCGCGGCGGGGACGGGCGCAAGGAGCGTGCCCGTGCCCGCGCCCGTGCGCGTGCCCAGAGGCACACTGAGCCACTCCAGTCCGAGGGATGCTCTGCTGGCGCTTCCGCCCCGCGAGCAGCGAAGAAGAAAAAACGCCATGAACCTAAACTTTTGGCGCTCCGCGCGGATTTCTTGGATCCGCGCTGGGCCCCCCCGGCTGCGCCTCTGGCGCGGCCCCCGACGCGCTCCGCGCGCCCTGCAGGAGGGTCCGGCGCTGAATCCAAGAGATCCGCGCGGACCGTCGACGGTTTGTGTCTCTGCCAGTTCTTCTTCCTCTGCAGAAGCGCTCCGGCCAGTGACGCGGTCTGCTCAGATTTTCCAGGAACGGCTGCGGCGGGTGCTTGCCACACGCCAGTGCAGGATGCGGCTTGGCCGCCGCCTCGGGCCGCGCAGCAGGCGGGCGTCGTGAGGCTTGGCAAGTGGCACGGTTGAGGGTTGCACTGCCGCTGGCGTGACAAGTACACCCAGCTGCAGATCAGGTTGTCGACGACCTGAGTGCGTTGCCCAAGTTTGCGATTGGGATTCCGGGTCTGAGTCCGAAGTGGTTGCGGGGTGGTGTTGAGCTGGTGTTGTTTCCAGGCGTCAACGACCATGGCCAGCAGAATGTGTTGCGGTTGCATTGCGCTCTGGCCCAAAACAGCTTGTCCGTGAGGGTCCTATGCAGGTTGCCCCTAAAGAGCTTGATCGTAGTGGTCCTGTATGAATGTTCTGAGGTCGGTCTGTCCTGATCGCCGTGGTCTGGTATGATGTCAGGGTCTCCCGCATGTTTTCCTGTCTGGTCTCCCTTATTATCTCTCACCTGATCTCCCGTATGGTTTTTCCCGTCTGCTCTCCTGTCGGGTCTGCCCTTGATTGCTTGCGTCCCCTTTTCTTCCCTTCAGGTCTCTCCGATGGTCTCTGCCACAGTCTCCCTTTTACGGCTCGCCACTCTTTTACTACACACTTGGTCAAGGGAGGACAAATCACCCGGACCGGGCAATCGGTGTTTACTAAACAGCCTTGGCCGTTTATTAAACAGCCCTGCCCTGTTCGATTCCTTCGGTGGGGGCGTTCAGTAAACGGCTTCGCGTGTCTGGGTGGTTGTACGGGGGTGGATGTTTAGCCCTCTATTGCTAAGGCCTTACGGCCAGTGCCGCCGACCCTGGACACCTCGGCCCTCGAGGGTGACGGGATGCGTGATAAGACGTCGGAGGTTAATGAAGACGTGGCGGAGGAGGAGACGGAGGAGTAGGAGGAGGAGGAATGGGAGGAGGAGGAGGAGGAGGAGGAGGAGGAGGAGGAGAGGGAGGGGGATGTTTAGCCCTCTATTGGGGGTCTCCCGCATGGTCTCTCCGTGCAGTGTTCTCCGTCGGCGCCCTGACGAACTGTTTTCTAGGGGCCTGCTGCCGCAGATGGCGTAACTCTAAGGCCAGGTGGCTCATGGTTTCCGTCTTCCTTTTTGGGGGCTCTCTTTGTATTTCTTGATCGCCTTCCTTATGATGTTCCTGCTGGCCTCTCTCTCTCTCTCTCTCTCTTTTTTGGTGCTCTCCAGAGGACGCCCTCCGTACTACGCCTCGCTCTCTGTGGCGTCTTCTACCTAGGGCGTGCTGGAAGCAGCTGTTTGGGGGTCTTCTGCCACGAAGGGTGTACTTGTTTGCTTCGCTGCACTTCTCTGCCGGGCTCGGGACGGAAAGCCGTTCTGCTCACTCCGCCAGCCTTCGTGCGCTGCAGCTGCGGCAAAGCTTGACGTTCTCCGCTCGCGGAGCCCCGAGGCGTTGTACAGACCAGCCCCCTGCCGCATCGCCTTCGGCGACCAAAATGGGTAGTCTGGTCGGCAGCCCACCTCCTGACCAGCCGCTGGCCTTGCTCGCCTCACACTCCACCGACGGCAAGAGGGGCACGCCGAGGTCAAGCATGATCCCAGACGCCTCGCGTGACCCCACCAGCCCATCCAGGCACGATGCCCAGACAAGTTGTCCTGATCAGGGATGTGGAGATGAGTCCAGTGGAATACAGGGCCGGGTAAGACTTTCTACCCCAAGAGCGGCAGAAGGAAGAGGCGGATGGTGGGCAGGAGGAGGAGGAGGAGGAGGAGGGCGAGCAGAAAGGCCAGAGGCCTTTTGGATGCCTCTCGGAGTCTCTTCTGATTCCTTTCGAGCGTTCCTTGAGGTCCACCTTGGGCGTCTTTGGGGTCTCTTGGCATCCTGGGGGCCCTTTGATGCGTCTTGGGTGCCTCCGGGGGGCCGCTTGTAAGCTCTTGGGGGGCTCTTGGGAGCCCCCTGTGGGCATCTTGGGGGCACCGTGGAGGCCTCTAGAGGCCTCCCGGGCACATCTTGAGGTCGTCTTGGGGCACCCGTGGGGGCGTCGGGGGGCATCGTGGGTCCATCTTGGAAGAGATCGTTCGCAGGAGGGAGGCTCCTTACTTAGGGCCACCCCAGGAGGCCAACATTGGGGTCTCTTGGGGGCATCTTGGGGGCCTCTTGCGGGCCTCTCGGGGCCTCCTGGGCACCTCTTTGGGCCCTCTTGGGGCACCCTTTGAGGCCTCGGGCGCAATCTCGGGGTCATGTTTGAGGAGCTCGATCAAAAGAAGGGGGGCTTCTTAATCAGGGTCCTCCTCCCAGGAGGCCAGCGTGTGACCAAAACCTTTGAAACATCAATGATGTTGGCCTTCTTGCCGAGGTCTCTTGGGGCGCTTTGGGGGGCCCTGGGGGGCCTCTTGGGCGCATCTTTGAGGGCATCTTGGGAGTCCCTCAGGGCCTCCTGGGCATCTCTTGGGGCCCTCTTGGGGCACCCTTTGGAGCCTCTGGAGCCATCCTGGAGGAGATCGATCAAAGGAGCGGAGCTCCTTGGTTAGCATCCCCCCCAGGAGGCCAACATGTGGCAAACACCTTAATCACATCCGTGAGTTTGGCCTTCTCGCCGAAATCTTGGACGCTCTAACGCCTGGCGACCCCCCCTTCCAGGTTCAGGGGGGGAAGGGAGAGGGGTAAACCTATCCCCGCAGGGGACGGAGGGAGTTGGAAGAGGAAATTCCCTGCGTAAGCCAATCACGCCCTAAATAGCTGGTGGGGTTCGTCGATCAAGCGCGGCTGCGCCTCGTAGTTTTCTTCCTCCGGGAGGCCCTCACGCTTGGCAGAGTGCAGTCCGCGCGCTGTGCGAGAATTTTCTGAGGGCTGTCCTTGAAGGACCGCTCGCTCTTGCGCGCTCGTTGGTGGCATCTGGCGCGGTGCAGACGTTGAGAAGACGGGGAAGCGGGGGCGGAAGAGGAGCGGAAAGAGGTCATTCGAAAGCCACACGGGAACCTCGAATGTGAGAAGACTTGAGTGCCATTTCGAAGGGAACCTTCCGAATGTTGTAAGAGGGAGCTCTCGAAATACGTCAACGCGAACGACCTGCACACGTAAAATAAACACAATTTCGCAAGAACGCAAATCTGAAACACCCCCCTGGGTCCACCATATGGGGAATGATGTGGCTGGTGTCTGGCCAGGTATACGTAAGAACTCAGTGTGCCGGAACTCGGGTGTGCTTGGCGACTCCGTCGTTGAATGTTGACGGTTACGCCATCCGCTTGCAAGGCCTACCGTGTCGCTGGGGACGCCGCCACGACACGCTAGGCAAAAGTTCACGACCGTGACGCCCCAACAGTTCATATGATAAGACGTTGCCAGTGATTTCAACGGCAAAGAAGATGACCTTGGATTGCCCTGGCTATGCCCGGCTGCCCCCCAGAAGGATTGCTGGAGATATCAACGCGGGTGTTCACGAACATGAGGAGATGGACGGGAGTCTTGTCTGCACTTCTTCGCCGCACCAGCCCCGAGCACGAGCAGTGTATACTAGCCCCCTCGAGATTGTATTCTGCCGAGGATGGGGCCCCAGTAGTTAGGTCGCCCTGGCCTTCTGCGCCCTCCCCTCAGGGGCCGCTCTCTCCTGAGCTCAGCCTCTTCCATATTGTAGTGGCCTCCGGTCGGTGCCGCCGATCTGGGGCGCTCCAGATGATGATGATGATGATGATGATGATGATGATGATGATGATGATGATGATGATGATGATGATGATGATGATGATGATGATGATGATGATGATGATGATGATGATGATGATGATGATGATGATGATGCTGATGATGATGATGATGATGATGATGATGATGCTGATGATGACATGATGACGATGATGATGATGAATGACTGATGGTGGTGGTGATGATGATGATGATGATGATGATGATGATGATGATGATGATGATGCTGCAGATGATGATGATGATGATGATGATGATGATGATGATGATGATGATGATGATGATGATGATGATGATGATGATGCTGCTGCTGATGATGATGATGATGAAGATCATGGTGGTGGTGGTGGTGGTGATGATGATGATGATGATGGTGATGTTTACGATGGTGATGGTGATGGTGATGGAGATGGTGATGATCTCCCCCCCCCTCCTCTCCTGTCCCCCCCCCTCTCCTGTCCCCCCCTCCTCCTCTCTCCTGTCCCCCCCCCCCCCCCCCCCCTCCCTCTCCTGCCCCCCCCCCCCTCTCTCCTGTCCCCCCCCCCCCTCTCTCCCCCCCTCTCTCCCCCCCCCCTCTCTCCTGTTCCCCCCCCTCCCCCCCCCCCTCCCCTTGCAGAGCGCCCATCTGCAAAGCGGACCCTCCCGCCTTTCCCTGCAGCTCCCGCTCCCGCCTGAGAGGGCCCCCCCCCTTTGCAGCCCCCCCGCTTGCAGAGCGCCCCCCCCCCTCCCCCCTCTCCTGCCCTCACGCTTGCAGAGCAAAACTCTGGCGGGCGGCCGAAATCGAGGGAGGAGGGCTCGCAGGGGGAGGGGAGGTGCCGAGCATTGTATTCGACAGTTAATGAGGTTCCCCCCCCCTCCCCCCTCCCAAGCAGAGCTAAAGCTCAGGCTGAAGCAGAGCTTCAGCTTAGACTTCTTAAACTCACGCGCCAGATCGGCGGATTGCTTTTGGCTTCAAGCACTTGACAGTTCCCCCGCCCTCTGCCCACCTTCCCCCGTGTCGACAGAGGCTCGGCTTCAAGTTTTCCCGACCTGTTGGGCCTGCCCACGGGCCACATCCGGGAGCGGTTTTGAGGGGCAACGTTTGGAGAGGGGGGCGGATAGGCTCTGGGGGGGGGCGTATCGACCCCCAGTCGCCCATTCATCGCTGACGGGGGCTTGGTAGCCCACCTCGCCGAGGAGCGTGTGGACGCGACATCGGGAACATCTCGCCGATCTATCGGTGACGTATCGCCGATTCCAGCTCCCTGTCTCTCCCCCCTGAGCCGAGCCCCCCCGAACGTTGCCCCTCAGGTCCGCACATCGGCCACGCGCAGAGGGGGGGTGGGGAAGGGGGGAAGGCTCCTTGGAAGCCTCCCTGCTTCTCAGAAGGTGCCGGCCTTGTCTGCAGATGTCAGGCCGGCGCCTTCTAAGAAGCGGCCTCCTTCTGAGAAGCCGTCCCCCCTCCCCCATGATGGAGGATGACGATTAATAAATGACGGGGGGTCGTGTTCACGCGGCGGCGCCCAGGATGACGATTAGAAAAAACCGGCCGCGGGCTGGAAAACTATTTCTTTAATCGTTCTCCTCCAGTCCGAAAATTGCAGAAATAGCAGGAAACTATTTTTCTAATCGTTCTCCCTCATTTTTTAAATTAATCGTCATCCCGCATTACCCCCATGCGCGCGCCGCCAAGCACAGGCTGCGATGCCGATCGTGCGTGCTCCGACCGAGGGCGCGGCAGAGCTGTGAGCCCACTGGGTGCTGCTCTCTCGAGGCTGCCCCTGGGCGGCGACGGCAACAGGCACCGTGCTGCGATGGCAGCTCGGGGCACCGCGCCTGCCCTCCTCCGTCTCCCTCCGCGTCGTCCTCGTCCTCCCCTCCTCCTCCTCCTCCTCCTCCTCCTCCTCCTCCTCCTCCTTCTGCCTCCTCCTGCTTCTCCTCCTCCTCCTTCTGCCTCCTCCTCCCCCTCCCCCTCCTCCTGCTCCTCCTCCTTCTGCCTCCTCCTCCTCCTGCCTCCTCCTCCTTCTGCCTCCTCCTCCTCCTCCTGCCTTCTGCCTCCTCCTCCTCCTCCAATGCAGGGTGTCGGCTGCATGTGCCTGACTGTACCGACCGGCGGAGGAGTCCTCCGACGCCCGGTGTCGGCAGCGCTTGCCTGACGGCAGGTGCCCGGCGGGTCTCTCCTCCAAGGCCTGGCGTCGGCAGCGGCCATCGCCTCTGTTGCTCGTTGAGGCTCCAGCACGGCAAATTGATTCTGGCACGCTGTCGCACTCGACCTCTCTTTTTCCGAATGTCGGGCCGGAGGAAAGGGGAGGATAGGGAAAGGAGGGGTACGAAATCTGCTGCATGCAGCTGGTTCTGGCCCCACCGAGGGGCCCATTCCTCGATAAAAATCCGCCTCCCGGCGCCGGGAGGCGCCGGGAAAATCAGCTATATACGTGAGCTGATTCTCACCCCCGGCCCCCCCTTTTGCTATCCCCCCTTTCGCCCGGCCCGATTGACGCACTCGACCTCTCTTTCTCCGAATGGGCCGCCGAGAGCGGGGTCGCTGCCGCCCTGTAGGACTGATGCGGCAGAGGTCTAGGCTGGCAGGCGCGCGCAAAGATGCGCGGGCAGGCCTAAGACCAGGTTGACGATAACTAGGTCTTGGGCCCGTGTCATCACTGCCATTCCCAGGTGTGTGCCAGCGCCCATCTCCAATCGCAATGGTCGGCTGCGGTCTGTGCAGCCAGATCTCTACACCCCTCTTCCTTCCTTCTTCAGGGGGCGGGCGGGAGCTCAGCCTACATCCAACGCCCTCCGACTGCATTCTTGCACCCACTTCTTCCGACCGATGGTAAGCCTCAGACATCCGGTGTCTTGTTTTCGGTGTTCAAGACGGGGCCCCCAGGAGTCCCGACCCGTTCCCCGCTTTTGTTTCACGGCCCCCGGGCCTTGCGAGTGACCCCCGTTGCCGAACATGGCCAAACCCTTGAGCCGCTGGTTTTGATTCACGGCGCGGGCACGTCGGGGACCTCATCCCAGCCTAAGTTGCCGCTCATCCTGAGGTTTCGTGACGATGCGCTGTGGCATCGAGCAAGTTCTGATTTGCCACTGCGCTATTGCCGAGATGATGCGGGCCCGAACACTTTTGAAACAAACAAATGTCTGGGACCTCATAGCCACCATCTGGGCCTCAGGGGCAACGTCAGGGGGGATGGACTCCGGGAGAGCGCATCGACACAATTGACCGTCGATTTCTAGGACAAGATTGAGAAATATGGAAGGTGGGGGGAAGACAAAAACCCAGAAAATATGGGAAACGAATATTGAAATTCCTGTTATTTGCGTGCATTTCTTTGTGTGCCCCTGGGCCCCTCCATGTTTTCTATCCTGGGCCGCTCCTTGACAGTCCAGGGCCGTTTCCGGGACCTGGCGAGGGCCCCTGGAGGCCGAGGACGGCCCCAGACCGGCCGCTCCAATTTTGCCGGAGCCTCGCCTCCCCCCCCGGCCCTCGTAGCCCAGACATGCGACGTCTTCCACATGCGATCCCTGCCCCCCATACCCCCCACGACTTCTGAGGGGGAGGGTAGGGTTTCACTTCACTCGGGAGCTCCCGAGCGAAGTGAACCCCACCCTCCCCCTCAGAAGTCGTGGGGGGTCCCCCCATGGATTTTTTCAGGACGGCGTCCCTGGAAGTCTAGACCCTTTCCGAGCTTTCCCCAGGACCGGCTTTTCATCCTGAGTCTTTTTCCCTACCTAGGCTCTGCCTAGAAGGGTTCTTACTCTCTTAGCTTAAGGGGCCGGGCAGTGGAAAGCGCCCCGGGCGGTTCCCCCGGTCCCCGCCTCGCGGTTCCCCCAGTCGCGCCCCCTGGGTTCACCCAGCTTAGCTTAGCTTAGCTTAGCTTAGCTAAGCTTAGCTTAGCTTAGCTTAGCTTAGTTTATCTCATCTTAGCTTAGCTTAGCTTTGCTTTGCCTAGCCTAGCTTAGCTTAGCTTAGCCTAGCTCATCTTAGCTTAGCTGAGCTTAGCTTAGCTTAGCTTAGTTTAGCATGGCTTAACTTAGTTTAGCTTAGTTTGGCTTAGCTTAGCTTAGCTTCGCCTAGTCTAGCTTAGCTTAGCTTAGCTTAGCTTAACTTAGTTTAGCTTAACATACCTTAGCTTAGTTTTGCTTTGCTTAGCTTAGCGCAGCGCAGCATAGCGCAGCGCAGCATGAGCACAGCATGGCATAGCATAGCCCAGCCAAGCAAAGCATAGCATAGCACAGCATATCATAGCCCTGCATCGCATCGCATAGCATATCATAGCAGTGCATCGCATAGCATCGCATTGCTTAGCATAGCACAACGCAGCATAGCATTGCATAACACCTCACATCACATCATAGCATAGCATGTCATAGCACAGCATAGCATAGCGCAACATATCATAGCATAGCATAGCATAGCATAGCGCGGGATATAATGTCATATCATAGCCTAGCGAAGCATAGCATAGCCCAGCATCGCATAGCATAGCGCAGCATAGCATAGCATAGCATAACACTACTACTACCGCTACTGCTACAACTGCGACGATGAGGAGAAGGAGGAGTACGGCGTTTACCGTTACTACTAATATTGCTCTCCTAGGGGCTCCAACTCCTAGGTAGGGTCGCTCTGGGATAATTGTTGATGGCCCCGAGGCCCGGCGAGGGCTCCCCGAGGCCGAAAACGGCCGCAAACCTCCCGTCTTGATTCTTCTACGACGCGATCCTGTCTGGGAACTTTCCCCCCTCGAGGTCCGCCTGGCCACTGAAGAGCTTCGCGGTCGTCGAGCTGCGCCCCGGGGCCGCCTCTGCGGCGCTGCCCGAGATCCTGCGGTCGCTGCCGGGCAGCTGCCGGGCGGTCCGGCTCTCGAGGCCCTTTTGGCGTATAAAGCCGGGGGGGGGCGCGCCCGCCAGCCAGAGAGGATTCGGGGGAGCGTAAGACCTGGGTTTGCCGGGACTCGGGTTCGCCATCGTTTTTTGACGGCCGCGCCTCGGAGTTTGACGAGGAGGAGTTTCGTGGGATGTCTGCAGCGGGAGGCCTCGTCAAAATGCAGGCTCGGCCTCGTCATTTTTTTTGACGACCTCGTCGGGGATTTCCGAGTCCCCCGTACCCGGGTCTTACGTCTCCCCGAGCCAGAGAGGATGGGCAGCGTGGGGGGGCATGCTCAGTCGAGGTGGGGGGATCGAGGCTCGCTGTCTTCGAGCAGTGGCGAAGCGTCCTGGCTCGCCTACAGGCCCACGAAAGAATGTTCCAGGATCTGGGAACCTCTTGTGGTCTGCGCGACGTATTCTTAGACTATTATATGACTGAGTCTGTCTGTTTTTAGCACATGAGGGTTATCTTCTAGGAACAGTGTTTGTGTTCTTGAGACATTTCTGGGTTCTAAGAACATTCCGTGGAAGGGCCCAAAGGAATGCCGGGGCGGTCGGTCCCTGCTCAAGGATGGGCAACGTCAGAGGGGGGGCATGCTCAGTCGAGGTTCGGGGATCGAGGCTCGCTGTCCGGAGGTTGTGATCGCCCTGGGGCGGTCTGGTGGCCACGGCGGGATCCGCCTCGAAAGTCTGGGCAGAGTGCATCCCAGGAGCGGTCCAGCGGCCAACCTTGTCACACTTGATCAGTGGGTCGAGATTTTGAGACGTATTCGTCGGTCCTCCACGGTTGCCCAGCCTCGGGATGCAGCATTCCAGTAGCTGCACCTGGGCGTTCTGGGGGGGCCCGGATCTTTCCGAACGTCCGCCAGAGAGTTGATGCATGCCTTAAGTTGGGCGTGTCCTTCTACAGGAGGAATATTCAAAAATCGCGAAAATAGTCAGGGGATGATGTTTCGATTCTTTCCGGCTAAATTTGACCATTGTTGGAATTATGTGTTGTTTCTCATCCAAAAACCGCTTGTAGGAGGACGCGCCCGACCTCATGCATGCCCCACGAACCAAGGGGGCAACGTCAGGGAAGGACGGGCTCAGGGGGGGATGCATCGACCCCCAGTCGCCCAGTGATCGTCGACAGGGGCCCGACCGCCCGCCCCGCCCAGGACCGCGGGTCTCCATTCTGTCGGCGGTGCACCGCCGCGTCCGAATCGACGTCTGGGCCAGTCCCCCCCCCCCCCTAAAGCTTCCCTCCACACAGGAGGCAGGGGGGGAGCTTAAGAGGAGGGCCAGTGCCAGACACCCTCGCCCCTCACACACGCACAAGCCACGGCGGAGGGTGTTTCCTTGGTCATCGGCGTGCTCCGGAGGCCCTCGCGCCGGACCCGTGGGGGGGCCGTCCAAGGACAGCTCGGAGATGTGAAGCGCCGGTCCCCCGAGTGGGATCCGTGCTGCGGGGGCCCCCCCTCGCAGCCGCGCGCTCCCAAGGGACCGCCGGCCCCCCCCGCACTCCGACAGTCGGCGCTCGGGCTCGCAGGGAGAGAGCGGTCGCTGGCCGCGACCGCTTAGGCTGCCACGGGCCTGGTCGTGGTGAGCACGCCTGCTCTCGCCGCTCTGCTGGCCCTCCGCCGCCCCCCCCCCGCCCCGCGCCGCCCTTCTCGGAGGGAGGAGATGCGACGCCAATTCAAGCAGCGGCGAAGCGTCCTGGCTCGCCTATAGCCCTACCAGGCAATGTTCTCAGAGCCTCTTGTGGTCCCCACGAAAGGTTAGAACATGTCTGGTTGGGACTGTCTTGTTTTATCACATCGGGGTTCTGTTCTAAGAACATGATTTGTGTTCTCAAAACATTTTTGGGTTCTGAGCACATTTCGCGGTAGGACTATAGGAATGCAGGGACGGTCGGTCCCTGCTCCCCCCCCCCGCCCCTCGCCGCCCTCCTCGGAGGGAGGAGATGCGACGCCAACACCACCAGGGGGGGTCACCTCCAGCGAGGAGGTCCACGATGCCTCCCCGAGCTGGAGGCTGGGGATGCCTCGAGCGTGAGGGGGGAAGGGGGGGCACAACACTGGGGAGATCCCCCTTGCTCCTCGCATCTCCTCGCCCTGGTGGTGTTGGTGTCGCATTTCCTTGTTCCGACCTCCGTCCACCAGATAAGATGTGGGTCACCTCGGGCGCCCGATGTCTTGCTGACTGGTTGCTGCGATCCAGACCTATTGGTAGTTATTCCTTTTGAGGAATACGGTCGGACCGAGGTCTAACATCGAGGTCGGTTTGGGAGGGCACCCTAGTGCTGTTCGGGTGTGTTGGATGTTCTTGTGCACCCTGGGGAGGATACCTTCGGATGTTCTGTTTGCATTGGCCGACGGAGGGTCTCATGCTCTTGAGGGATGTTCTTCTGGCCTAGGTCCGACTGTGGCGGGGTAGCGACCGCTGTCTCGACTGTTTAGTGTTTTGGCATCTGTGGCCTGGGAGCTTTTGGTCGAAGCGATGGAAGTTGTTGCCCGCCTTTGTGGAGGGAACGCAGCTGGGATAGCGGCTCGAAGCGTTGGAATGTGTTGAGAGCCACCGCGGATGGAGCGCAACCGGGGTTGTGGCAGACAGGCCCCACAGCGCCATTCTCCAGCAGGATTGGAAGGGCAGATGCGCGCCAAATTAATCAGTGCGATAGCCAGACGAGCTGGGGATCATCAAGTCATTGCCATCGTCATTTCTGGTTTCTCTTCGTGTGACAGGGAGCGGTGGCACACAGGTAAGATTTCCCGACCCGTTGTTTGAAAGTCTGTACGGATCCTGTTGACATGGATTCCTTGCTGCAGCGTGGTATCAAACCGATGGAATGCCAACAATAACTTGCAATGACTGCGTCTTTGGGTTCGAGGTGCAGCTGTTGTAGAACATCCCATCACGTGTGTTACTGCAGGATCTGGCGAAAGTATTCAGCGTTTCTTAGGGTCTGTCATAGCGCCCAGGAAAGAGGAGTGGGTGTGGCGGAGGCAGAGATTGTCTCGACCAGGGAGCGGAAGACACACCACCGCCAAACGAAGCACCATCCCGATGGTCCTCACGCCGTCGTTGCAGTCCTGTGCCAGCGCATGCTCTACGTGTCCCTCCTCCTCCCTGCCTGAGGCCTCTGGGGCGTCTTGGGCCTTTCCTGCCTCGGGCGTCCTGGGCCTTCTCGCACGACCAGACATACAGTCAAGACACTGGAATAAGGAACAGTTTGGGTTCGGAAGGGGCTCCATGTTCCTTAGGTTCCTCCAGTGCTGTTCCTCTTGCCCTCCTGGGGCACGGAGGCGCTGGCAGGGCCAAGCAGGGGCCTCGTTCCTCATTCCGCGTTCCTCCTTTCAGCGGCCCGACTCTAGCGGGCGTCCTCCCTCCTCCCTTCTCGTCGGCTCGGGCGTCTTGGGCCGCTCCCGCCTCGGCGTGCCCCCCCCCCCCCCCACGCCCGCGAGGGGGAGGCGGCAGGCCTCCCCCGCCCAGGGTGTGCCCACGGCCCGTGGCCTCGCTGCGGAGGCCCCCCTCGGCCTCGTGCTGTGCGGGGGGTGGGGGGGCGCCCTGGAGGCCCCGGGGGCCGCCGCCTTGGAACTCCGGGGGGGGGGCACCTCGGGCCGGGGACGCGTCCTGTCCGGCGATCGCAAGCGTGGGCTGGCGACGGGTCCCGCTTCCATGGGAAGTCGCGGCTTTCTGCCGCCGAGAGAGCGGCGGCGCCCGCCGCATTCCGGAGAGGGCACCCCCCCAGATCCACGGAGTTGGCGACCGCGCGCCAAATCCAGGGATCGCTAATCCATGCTTGCGCGCCCCCGATCCTGGCAGCACCCGACGCGTGCGCCCGCCAGGCGCGCGCGCGCAAGCAGCAGGACGCACAGCTCGCGTTCGATCGCCCTCGTGCCATCGGCGGGGCCCCCCCTTGCTGGAGCGCCATGGTGACCCCTCGTCCTCCGGGCAACGAACTTGCCCTCTCGAACTGTATCTCGGCAGGGAATTCACCAGCACAGACACACCTAGATCTCGATTGCAGGGAAAAGATGGGAACTGTGGGAAGCGGAGGTGAGGACGGAAAAATTGGATCTATATAGAAATAGGGGGATGTTTGAGTATGTGCATATGTGTTAGTGTCGTCCTGGGCCCTGTCAGTATTCTCTTGCCGTCTCTCTCTCTCTCTCTCTCCTTCTCGCTCGCTCTCGCCCGTCCGCGGAAGTCTAGGGCAACAACAAATGGCATAAACACAAACAACTCGGATGTCCGCGCGGATTTCTCGGATCGGTGCTGGACCCCCCTCCCTGGCACGCGGAGCGCGCCAGGTGCGGCGCCAGGGCTTCTGAGAAGCCACGCCGCCTTCTGAGAAGGCCTTCTCCTCCCTTCCCCCCCTCGCTCGCCGCCGAAGCCAGGAGCAGCGGGGGCGGCCCGACGGCAGGGCGGGCCGGCTGATGCGGCATCGCTCGTGCCTCCTGCCCTCGTGCCTCCTCTCAGAGGCCAGCAACATATGTACACGTACGCGGTTAGCTTCCCCTTGAGTGCGTGTCAACGAGGACGTTCGTGCAGGCAAGACCGCGGAGGGCGTACATGTACATATGTCGTTGCTCGCCCATCCTCCGCGGCCCGACGAGTCTCCTGGGCGTTGCCGTGGCAGCAGCACTCCGCTGCCGACGCTTGAGAGGCCCAGCGCCTTCGGACGGCCGGCGCAGTTTGGTCACAGCTTCAAGCAAATCGGGCATGTCCCCGTGCAGCCCGACCCGATGGTTGCTGTGGCGCGGGAGCGCCTGCGGGGTACAAACACGGAGCGTCCAGGCTCGGGCTCGGCAAGATGCCGGCCTACCTCGAGACCATGGACGCCCTCTGCGCGAGGCCGGCGTGGGGGAGGGGAGGGGAGGGCCTCTTCCAGCTCGAGCCTGAAGCAACGCAAAATCAGCGCACGTGTTTGAGCGTAAGCCTCCGGAGGTCCGCGCGGACACACCCTTCCTGGCGCGCGCGGGGCGGCGACGCAAGCGCCGCCAGCGGGGTCCAGCGCCGATCCAGGAAACGTGCGAGGACCTCTTGAAGGTTATGCTTCGACTTTTTTCCTTCGTCCACAGTGGAAGCGTCCCGTTGCTTGTCATCTCGTCTCCCTGTGTTTCTGATCCTCCCATCGTGGTTGCCGATCGGGTTGGTGTGCACTGCAGCGGTGTTGGCCGCCAGGGCACCGACCACCCCGCTACCAATTGTCTGTGTTCCCGTGCGTCACCGCCCGTTCGCTCGTTCCCTTCATGCTTCTGCTGCTGCTCCTCCCCGCACACCCACCCACGTCTACTCTGGACCGCCCCCGCAGTGGGTCCCCACGACATTGGTGCGAGCCACGCTGCCCCAGATGGAGGAGGCACCCCAGAGCTTCATGGCGCTGAGGGCCTCCATTCCTCCTCCCTCCCCCCTCTGCCTCCCAGCATGCGCGACACGCCGGCGTCCACCCAGCAACCGGCGATCGTCCCAGGATGTGCGACACGCCGGCGTCCACCCAGCATCAGGCGTCCGGAGGTCTCTACTCTTTCCAAACACGCACCTCTTCCTCCATTGGTGGGGTCTTGAATGTGAGCCGGGCGCGCTCTCTCCAGCGTTTCCTCCTCATCCTTCTCCTTCTCTTGCCGGCTGCTGATTCGATGGTTGCATTATTATCCTTGTTTGTTTTCCGCGCTGTCGTTTTGTCCTACTGTTCATAATTCCACGCAGGTGTGCACTTTGCAATACTCGTTCGTGCGCTGAGCGCCGGCCGCCGCCCCCCCTGCGTTTGCTGCGTTGGGCTGCCTGCAGGCTCATGGCCTGGCCGCCCTTGGTCGGGGCGGGCGGTGGATCAACGGAACAAGAGTAACCCACCAGCGGAGGCACGGGGACCGCCTCAATGCCATTCCGATCCGATCCTCTCCCTCCCCTCCCCCTCCCCTCTCCCTCCTCCTCCTTCTCCTCCTCCTCCTTCTCCGCCTCCTCCGCCTCCTCCGTCTCCTTCTCCTTCTCCTCCTCCTCCTCCTCCTCCTCCTCCTCCTCCTCCTCCTCCTCCGTTGGCCCCAGGTTTCATGAGTTTTCGAACCACCCCTGACACACAGCTGACGTGGCACTGTCCTCGCCTGGTGTTTGCCCACGTCCGCCCGTCGCCATGTCCTGCTATATTGTCGGACCTTCCCGAACACACGGTTGCGCCCAGACAGGTGAGGCAACGCGTCTTCGAACGAAGCGTTCATTATGGGGGGGCGCCGGGTTCCCCGACGTGCCGTTGGCATCAAAGCCGCGAAACCCGACGAAGTCACGTATGCCTGAAATCGTCTCGGATCACTGCTCCAATGCAGAATCTGATTCAGAACCTCGTCCCGGACAGTTGGGCCAGCGGGTCTCAACCAGATTGCCTAAAAGTTGGCCCAGTTCCTTGAGCAGGCTCTCCCCTCCAACACTCGCACCAGGCAATGGCCAAGCTTTGTGTTAAGAAACTTAATGATCTTTGTGCTAAGTGGCAATGGCCAAGCGTGTGATAAGAAACTCCTAAGATCTTAAATGACAATTGAGCGACGCACAAAAAAGTCGGGGGCGTATGAGCCGACACTGGCGCGTGAGCTGCCCGCGTAAGGCCGCGCGTGAGCGCCCTCGTCTCCAATGTTGCGTTCCGCGCCGGCAGCCCGCGTAAGCCGCCGCGGAAGGTCGCTATGTCATCTCGCGTAAGACCAGGTTTTGGTCGTCGCCCAAATGTCTTGATCGCATTTTCGGCTGTAGCGGTAGCCCGTAAGCCAGACTCTTACCCAGCAGGTTCGCAGTGGCTGCCGCCGCACGGCCGGCACCTTGCCGGCCCTCTGCTGGCCCACCGCCGCCACCCCTGCTGCTCTTGCGAGTGGGCCTCTTGGGGCGACCATGCCGGCACATGCCCCGAACCCGTCCAGAGCCAATGCGTGCTTCATCAGTTGCACCACGTTTCAAGATGCTGATCCCGCGGGCACACAGCATTTCAACATGTCGCGAACATAAAGCGTGCCAACATGCTTCAACACAGATCAGGTCCCGCAATCTGCTGTCGAATCAGGGCCCGCTCTGGACCCTCTCAGCACCCTTTCGGCACCCTCTCAGGATTCTCTCAGGGACCCTCCACATTGTTCCTCTAGAGACCCTCGACGGCCTCCCAAGAGCCTCGCAGGGCCCTCTTCCCCTATGCCTCCCAGGGCCCTTTTCCCCTATGCCTCCCAGGGCCCTCCCGGCATCCTGCCAACGGGGAGCCCTGGTGGGGTCGTTGGGGACGATTGGCAGCGCAGGCAGGGCTGGCACGGTACCGCGCGGTCCACCACGAGGATGGGCGAGTGCCCCCATCGTGGGGCGAGGCGAGCGAGGAGAGGAGGGCGCGTTGCAGCGATTGGACAAGGGGCCCTCCTTCTTCCCTCCTCCTCCTCCTCCTCCTCCTCCCCCTCCTCCTCCTCCTCCTCCTCCTCCTCCTCCTCCTCCTCCTCCCCCTCCTCCTCCTCCTCCTCCTCCTCCTCCTCCTCCTCCTCCTCCTCCTCCTCCTTATCATGCTTCCCTCCTCCTCCTCCTCCTCCTCCTCCTGCTCTCCTCGACCCGAACTGCGACTCGGAGCGGGAGGGCGAGGGCGAGTTGAGACAAAGGTAGCTCGTTGGCCTTCGGGGGGGGCCCTCTCGTCGCCGCGGCGGGACGCCGCTCGGAGAGCTGCTGCGTCTGGCTCCCGGGAGGCGTCCGGGGGACTCGTTCCGAGCCTCTGCCGTCCCGGCTCGCCCCGCAGGCCGAGAGCCGGAGGGCGAGGGCTCGGGGGCGGAAAAGAGGGGGGTGATGACTAGGGGGGGGTGGATATCATGGCGTGGGCCATGATATTTCCCCCGATTTCATGGCGCCTCTTCTTATTTCATGACGTCCCTGGGCCCCCCGCTGGGCCGCGCACGTGCCGCCGGTCATGATTTGCACTCCCCCCTCTTGGACACCCCCCTCTTGGCCGCTCCCGAAGGGCGGGGAGATCTGCGGTCGGCTCTGACTGGCAGGTCGGGCCTGCTGCTCCGCCGAGGCAGGAGCAGCTGCGCGAGCGCACGCGGGGGGATCTCTTCTGGGCAGCGGGCATCGCCCCCGCGGGCTCTGGCCCAGCGCGCTCCGGCGCGGCACGCCGACCCCTGCCCGGCCCCGAGGCGCCAGCGCTCCCGAGCTTTCTCAGGAGGAAAAGAAACACACAGACACAATGAATCCTCGATTTCCCAGAAAATATTGGAAAATATAGGAATTGGGGGGGAAGACAAAAACCCAGAAAATATGTCAAAATATGGGGAATCATTTTATTTGTGTGTATTTATTTGTGTGTCCCAGGGCCCCTTCACTTTCCCCGAGCCTCCCGCCCCGCGGAGCGGAGCGGCACGCTGTGCAGTCCGCTCTCGGGGCATCGCGTGTCGCCGGGGCCGCCGCGGCGACCCGCCAGCCAGTCGGGGAAACGTAAGACTCGAGTATAGGCCGGAACTCGGGCTCGCCGGCACGTGTTTTTTGACGAGCGCGTCCTGGATTCTGACAGTCTGGTTTTCGTGGGATGTTTGGCAGCGGGAGTTCGCGTCAAATATCAGATTGAACTTCGTTATTTTCATGATGGCCCCGTTAGGCCAAACAAAGTCCCCCGCACCCGAGTCTCACGTCTCCCCGACCCAAGAGCTCATGACCGTAAACTTCGGAGTTCCGCGCGGATTTCTCGGATCCGCGCTGGGCCCTTCCGTGGCGGCGCAGTAGGCGCCGCCCCCGGCGCGCTCTCCGTGGAGTGAGGCCTCGCGCCGATCCAATCTGGAAAAATAGTTATCGGGTTGGGAGGGCGAGGGGGGGGAAATGAGGGTACCATTACTACTCGTAGGCGGCCAAAGGTGTCGTTCATCGCATCCGGATGCCGTTACTCAGACCCTTCATCTTCCCAACCCCTTCCTCCCAACACGATCATTGTTCTCCTCCTCCAAGAGGTCCGCGTGGGCGTTCGAGGGGTTATGCTTCTGCTGTTCCTCCGCGCCCAGGTGCAGGGCGCGTGCCCCGTGTGTCCTGCCTCCTGTCCTGCTCGTGTCCGCAGGGGGGGCCGCCCTCGAGGGGATCCTGTGTCCTCTAGGCTCTAGGGTGTCCTCCGCAACCGGTCGCGGCCGTGAGTCAGGCCCGGTTCGTCGAGCGGCTCCAGCGCGAAGGAGCCGCAGGATCCGTGGACTGATGCCCGCGCCTGGCAGGGCCGTCCTCGGCTGTCACGCGACTGCTTTCGGCGGACAGGCGTCAGCATAAACGTCGGTCGGCGCACTCCTCCTCACGGATCCTTCTTCCGCTTGCTCCTTTCTCCTCTCTCGCGTCGAATCGCATTCTAGATGCGAGCGTCAAGAGCGTCGACGCTTCCGCTTCCTCCGCGTGGTCGTCTGTCCTATCGTACGCAGCGTGCATGTGCGCGTTGGCCCTGTGAGAGGCAGCTCAAGGCTCTATCTGAGTTTGATAGCCATTCCAGCATGCCCGGCCTGGCGGAGCGTCATCCTCGCTCGCGTGCTACCAGCCGTGTGATCCTTCTGACGAGGGGTGGAGGTGTAGAGCAACTGGCCTCAGAGCGGCGGGGGGGTAGAGGAGCTGGCCTCAGAGCGGAGGGGAGGAGTCGCCGCCGCAGTCATCGCCGCTTGCCATCAGCTGACAACTGGCACCCAGACGCATGCGACCTCCAGATTTTTCTCGGGATGAAGTTCCATAGGGTGTTATGAATGTGTGCTGTCGAATTGGGCTCCCCGCTCGAGCGGCCCCCCCCCCCCTCGGTGTCCGACAACCCGCACCCATCAATATAGCCCCTTCGTCTCTTTATCCTTCCCCATTGCTCTTTCTAGGTTTGAGCGTGTGTGAGTGTGTATGTGTGCGCGTGTGAGTGTATGTGTGTGTGTGCGTGTGTGTGTGTTGTCCTTTAGTCAGTTGGAGGAGGAGGAGGAGGAGGAAGAAGAAGAAGAAGAAGAGGAAGAGGGGAAGAAGCAAACCGCTTGCAGGCGGCCCGAGGCTGTGGACCTCAGCGGGAATGGTCTGGGCGACGCTTGCGTGACCGCCCTGGAGCAGCTGCTCTCCAGCTCAGGCGCCAGCGCGCCTGGGGGGGTGACTCGTGGCGGCCGTGAAGATGCAAGAAGAACAGCAGCAGGCCGGTGATCTCTGCAGCGAGGTTCCGGCTCTCCCTCTTGTCCCCTAGACTCGTTCTTTGGCAGTTTCTCCCATCCTTCTCCCCTCATCTTCCTTCCTACCCCTTCTCATCCTCTGTCCCAGCGTTCCCTTCCTCATCGCCGTCTTTCCTGTCGTCGTCCTCGTCTTCCCCCTTACACGTGTCCTCATATTCTCCACTTCCTCCACCTCTTCACCCCCTCCACATCCCCTGCCACCTTAGTTTTGCAATGCTGCTCCAAGGCAAAGGGGCCCCCCTGGGGACTTTCTCGAGAAGTTGAAAAAAAGTTCCGTTAAGTTCCAGGAAAGTTCCGGATTTGCATGTGTATTTCTTATTTGTTTAATTTCTTTCCTACAAAAGCAATGGCGTAGTAACGAATTTACATACATTCATATGAAGCAAGCTGTTATATGTGTATAATTTATTGCATTTTTTGCTTAGCAATTAAGAAACTTAGCTTATGTGTATCATTTAGAATATTCCAATGATGCCATGTCGTTGTTGTTTGTATCAGAAAATCATTGATTTGTTTTGTGTTTGAATGGAATGGTCGAGCAATCGTATGAATTTTGTTACATCGCAGATCCCACGCGTTTCGTGGCCCCATATGGACCTCCACCCAAGGCCCCAGCGGGCGTGTCGCGTCGTGCAGCGCGCCACCCTATACTTAGAGATATTTTACAGATACGAGGCGGATTCAACGAAAACGTCCAGCTCGTCTTCTCGCACCTTGACGCTTCCCGTCGTACGCCAACGCCCGTCCGAGTTGCAGGCCGGAGCCCCCCCTATCTATCTATCTATCTATCTAGCTAGCTAGCTATCTATCTATCTATCTATAGATCTATCTATCTATGTATATATATATATATATGGGTTAGGTTTTTCCTTAAGAACAACGGTCCACGCTCCTCGTTCCTCGCACGCGCTTCCCGCCGACCCTAGTCCCGAGGCCCATCGACCCTAGACTCGATGCCCGAGACCCAGACCTTTGGACTGAGATTCGAGGCCCCAGGCCCTAAAGCTTTAGACACTGGACCCGAGACCTTCTAGACCTTAGGCCCGATGCCCTAGACCCTAGACCATATACCCTAGACCCCAGGCCATAGGGCCCTAGGCCCTAGGCCCTAGACCCGAGGCGGTAAACCCTAGGGACCCTAGACCCTCGACCTCAGACATGGGAACGTACATTGACATTTCCGGAAGGCGCCCTGCGAGGCGCCGCCAGGGACCCTGGCGCCCAGGGACGCCCCGGGCAATGGGAGCGCCCCGCGAGAACCCCCCCAGGTACGGCGAATTTGCCCTAGTTGTTTTTTGGGCCTTCCCGGAAGCGGCAATTGTTTTTTTGATGTTTTGATGTTGTTTGATGTTTTTGGAACTTTGTTGGAACTCCGTTGTTTCTTTAATGTGTGTAGTGTTTTTTTGGGGAACTCTTCTTGAACTTTGTTTGCACTTTTTTGAACTTTTTTGAACTTTGAACTGTTTTGAACTTGTTTGGGACTTAAAAAACTATGAACGTTTTTTTGTTTTTTGTTTTTTCTACTGTTTTTGAACTTTTTTGAAACATTTTTGAAGTTGTTTTGAACTTTGTTTTTTTCCAGATGTGTTTGAACTTGTTCTTGATTTTTTGAACTTTTCTTGAACTTTTTTTGAATTTCGTTGTGAACAGCGGTTATAAACTTTATTGGTCCCCCGGGGGTCTCCGGATTCCGCCGCGGAATGTCAAAGCCCCGCCGGCGGGGGGCCTTTCGCGGTTGCCTTTTTGGGGGGCGGGGTCCCGCGGGGGAGTGTGATTCCCGTGGCGTGCGGCAGGGCCCGGGCCCTGTGCCGCGCACCTTACATTGGGGCGTGGACTTCGGGCATGGGGCATAGGGTCTGGGGCGCGGCGCCTAGGGCCCAGGGGCCAGGGCGGCCAGGGGTCTCAGGTTTGGCTTGGGCCCCAGGATCGACCCCAGGCCTTCAGCCTCTGGCGTAAGGCATCGATGCCACGGCCAAGGAATTTGGGCCGTGGCCTATGGACCCAGGCCATGGGTCCGAAGGCTCCGAGCCGTGGGCCCAGGGTCCAGGGTCTGGGGGCTGAGGCGCGGCGTCCAGGGTTCAGCGGCTTGGGGCCCTGGGTGTGGTTTGGGCTTCAGGGACTTGGCCCTGCTGCCTCGGGCTTCAGGCGTCGTGGCTCAGGTTTACGCCGTCGGGCTTGCGCCCAAGGGCCTCGGCGCTAGGCCTTGAGGCTTAGTGCTTAGTGTAGGGCCCAGGGTCTACGGTGTAGGGTTTTGGGCAGAGGGCTTAGAAATTCAATTCTTTACACGTAGGGCAGGAGGTCAAGGGCTTAGGGCTTTTGGCTTGAAGCGCAAGGTCCGCGACGCTTTCGCCAGATCGGTGAGTTCCATCGCAGCGCAAGCGTGAACCCTGGGTGCGCGTGACGGGTGTCCCGGGGAATGGGCGCCGCGAGGGCGAACTGGTGTGGGGGTCAGAATCGGCGCCGTTGGTTTTGATTTTTTGGGGGACTTTATTTGAACTCCTCGGCAAACGGAATTGGAATTTTGAACAAAAACAACAAAAAGGCTCACTTAGCCTGGGCTCCAGCATTACAACCTTAGTTACTCTGGGTTTCTTAATTCGCGTGGGGAGCTAACCCCCTTGCCGGGAGTCAACCTCGCCTCGTCGTCGCGCTGCGACGGGGGTCGGAGAGCCTTCTGCACGCGGTGGCTGCCCGCGACGGTGGTCGATGTACGGCGGGGGTCACGCCCCCCCGACGCTTTTCAAGAGATTCCAGAGTAGGGGTTACTACTTTTGTTCTAAGGAGCTCGGGGGAGTGTCGCTCTGGCGGCTCCGTGCTCGCCGTCGCCGCCCCGTCGGCGCTCCCCCGCCTGCGCGGCCGCCCGCGGCGCGGCCGCGGCGAGGAGCTGCTGCTGAGCTGGCCGCCGGCGCGGACCAGGAGGATCGGCGGTCCTCCTCCGTCTGCTCGATGGGAGAAGAGGTGCGCATAGCGCTACGCTTGCCCCGTTTGGCCCCGTTTCGGGCCTCCCTGGAGGCCCTCGTCGCCACCGCTTGATTCGATGCGGAATTCTGGTCAGAACGCACCTAAGGAGAGGTCCAGGGAGTAGCAGTATCAGTACATTCCGGTATCCCCACGTTCTTCTGCTTAGTACTATTATCTTATCATCATCCATTTTGTATTATTCGTATTCTGCTTCGTGTTCTCACGATGTGCATGTTTTAGTTGCTTGGTATTCGTGTTATATGGATGATTCTGAATATGAATTTAATGCCTTGCCAAAACGAATCTCATTTAACTCGTATCATGCTACTGCATTATATTATTCGTATCTTTCCTATCACTTTTAGTATTTCTGTTATTCGTCACCTTCTTCTCCTTGTTCTGTCAGCTGCCCAGCGGTCGACGAAGGGCGCCAATATGCACCCATGCACCCGCCTATGATGCGGCCAGGGAGAAGCGAGGGAGGGCCGAGGGAGGCGGGGGGGTCCAGGGAGTGCCGGTTGGGCATCATGGCCAGCTCAAAAGTCAACGGAGGCACCGCAGGCCCATATCAGCGGCACTGCCCTCACGGATCCAAGGCCCACTGCTCTCTCCATGGTTGTTTCTACAGGCGCGCAGGCTCTCCCCGCGTGTCGTGCGGCTCGGGCCGCGTCTCGGGCACCCGGGGCCCTCGCCCGTGCCTCGGGAGCGCTCGTCTGAAGCCGGTGGAGTCTCCGCCACATATAGGACGCACTGTTGCAAGGGAGAACGGTCGCATCAAGGAGAGGTCTGGAGCCAGACCCCCGCCCCCCCTCCCGCCCAATGTCGAAACGCCGACTAAGGAAACGTTCGCTTGGGGGGGGGGGGCGAGGGAGGGGGGGGAGTGTCGAGTGGGGGAGTGTCGGGGGGGGGCCTCGGGAGGGGAACGAGGGCGAGGGGAGCGGGAAACGATGGAGAGGGAGAGGCAGGGCAGGGGAGGAGGGAGGGGGACGCGGGAGCGGGGAGGCGAGTGTTGCGACGAACCTCCCAAGTAGCGCTCGCAGCACCACCCCCTTCTACCCAGACCTCCTCGCGTTGCGAAACAATCACTGATTACGGGAGGTTCCTCATTATCGGTCTCCAGAGGCCCTCGCCGGGCCCCGGGAACGTCAACAATGATTCAGGATGAAAAACTGGTCACCAGGAAGGGGTCCAAACTTCTGAGGGGCACGCCATGAGAAGATCACGACGTCGGGGGTCTGGGTATAAACTCTTCCCAACTCCTGTGGCCACACGTTTTTGCGCAAGGGTGGGGCACGAGCGCAAGGGAAACTGGTGCGGCCCTGGGCGCCTTCTACAGGAAGGAGGGAAGGGGAGGGCCGGACGCCGTGGGGAGGGGCGGGGAGCGCCGGGTGTGGGCCTCGCCTGAGGTCGGGCATGTCTGCCTACAGGCGGATTTTGGAGGACAAGTGACAAAGAGTCAAAACAGATGCAAACATAGCAAGAATAATCGAAACATCGTCCCCAGGCTTTTTTGTTGACGAGTCTTGGATGTTCCTCCTGTAGAGGGACATGCCCGACTTGGGCCTCGTCTCCCCCCTCCCCCGGGGCGCGCGCACCAGGAGCAGGGCGGCGGGGCCCTGCGGAGCCTGAACCTCAGCGGGACGGCCCGGGCGCGGGCGGGAGGTGCCTGGCGCGGGCGCCGTCGGTCGCCCACGATCGTGGCCGATGGAGCTCCTCTGGCCCCCCCCCCTCCTCCTCTTCCTCCTCCTCCTCCTCCTCCTCCTCCTCCTCCTCCTCGTCCTCCTCCTCCTCCTCCTCCTCCTCCTCCTCCTCCTCCTCCTCCTCGTCCTCCTCCTCGTCCTCCTCGTCGTCGTCGTCCTCCTCCTCCGTACCCATTTTGGCTCAAGCGATTTGGGCTCAAGCCAGGACCGCCGCGCGCCAGGGCCGCCCCCGCGCGCATGTGGCCTCTTCGGGGCTGAACGCCGCCTACGCCAGGCGGCTGCAGCTTCAGGCGAAGCGATTCTTATGCAATTCCGAGGTTCAGTTCTTCTTCGAGGTCGTCCTCCACCAGTGCTTCGACTGGTGCATGTACAGGCTAGACTTCCTGGCGCCCTGCCCGCTCATCTGCGGCGACCTGGGGGCGCGCCTCTCCGACATTGCCCGTCATGGCGGCTGGTGCAGTGCCAACGTCACGGTGCTGGTGGCTGCTGCTGTGGACGCTGGGGCCTTCTCCTCTTTCGTCTCCGCCGGGCAACTGGGACGAGCCACCGGTCACGGTCAAGGAGTCAAGGAGGCCACCGGTCACGGTCACGGCTCTCGTCAAGGCAAGCAGCAGACGCCGCCATTCTCAGCTGGGGCGTCCAAATCGACCGGGCCATCCGGGAGATCAGGTACAGGGAAGGGGACCCGTTCATCATCCACCTCCCCTCCCTCCTCCTCCGGGACACCGCGGCCTCCTCCTAGGTGGCCGTGTTCCTGAACGTGGTCACCTCGACGGCCATGTTCTTCAACTATTTCTCAACAAGATGGTGAAGCTGGACGCGAACACCCTGGTGCGCATTTCGACGGAGACGGTCGAGGGCACGATCCCAGCGCCACCCTCACCGCCGCTGCAGCCCGTCAAGAAGCTGAAGCGCTGGCGCACAAAGACGCCTTGCCCAGTGACGCTGGACCGGAGCACCGAGAAGAAGAAGTGGAAGGAGAACGGCATGAATATCACGCCCACTTCCAAGAATAATAACAAGGGGATCATGAAGTACAAGATGTTTAGGGCGCTCTGCATGCACGGCCTTTCCGAGACGGTCTCCCAGTCGTGCCCGTCGTCTTCGAAAGTCGCCGAGACGGACAGAGCTCAACAAGGACTACGCGCTCGACGGCTCCTGCGGAGGCCCCTCCATCTACGGGATCGGCGGTCCTCATGTGAATCGGCGGGACTTTTGTGGCGTTGCCGCCTCTGCCGCTGCCCCTGCTAAAAAAAATTGAGAGGAGCCCACCATTTTCGGCAAGGTTTCGCTGAATTTCACGCCTGCCGCATCTTCGAGGAGAGTAAGCCCAGGCGTCCTACGATCGTCGAGGCTACTTGGCGTTGGCGACAACGTTGAAGGCCAGACTTTTTACGATGCAGGAATTCCGTGCGCGTTTCAGAAGGACTCCGACCAGCAAGCCGACACCGCGTCTTCACGGAGCCCGACTCTAGCTCCACTAATGCCGACAAGTTCGACATCCCGAGAGCGCTTAGCCCATCATTTCCGACATCTCCGAGGGCGCCTTGCTCAAGACCTCCGAGGGCAATTTCATGCCCAACATCTCCAAGGGCCACTTCGAGTCCGACAGCGACTTCGTCGGCGCGCCGCCCCACTCCGACGTGCCCGAGGAGAACTGCAGCGAGCCCAACCTCGACCAGGATGAGACTGAGGTTGCCTCACCTTGCGAGCCTCGCATCGGCGAGGGCGGCAGCTGCGCGGGCTCCCCGAAGCTGTTTGGCTCCGTGGCGAACGGCGACTCCCTGGGCAGCGATTCCAACGGCAGCGGCTGGGAGTGCAGGGGCCCACCGCACACCTACACAAAAGAGCAGCTGTCTTCGCTTGGGCCTTCCAGATTGGCTGTGCTCCGCAGGTTGGACTTCATCCAGCTATCGTGAAGAATGTCGGCACGATCCCCTTTAGCATCAGCGGTCAGTTGGTGGAGAAAGTCATTTGCGTGTGGAACGGCTCCCAGAATTCCTCGGGCGACTTGCGCGAGGTATGCTGGTTCAAACCCGCGGGCGCAGTTCCCGCGCCCCTCTTTCGGTCGGGCGCCTGTGAGGCCTGATCACGCGCGGTGCACTGGACAAAAAATCGCCTCCTCCTCCTTCTCCTCCTTCTCCCCCTTCGTCCGACCCGGTCCAATAGAGGCCTCCCGTAGATCGGATCGGAGTAGATGAGGTCGGGCGAGCGCGCTGCATCGGCGATACATCGGCGATGCGGCGCACTGGGGGGCCCGATTTGCTCCACGTCGACGTCTCCGACGCACCGCCGACGTCGACGTTGCATCGCTGGTGCATCGTCGATACGTCGCCGATACATCGCCAATGTATCGGCGATGCGGCGAAATCGTCCAACCCCATCTATTCCGACCCCACCTCGGAGGCTTCAACCCCTCCCCAGGCCCCCATTCGGGTCATGAACAAAATCCAGGCGGAGGTTGTTCGCTATTGTCGGCCTCTGGAGGCCTTTTATCAGTGCCCTGGGATTGTGAGAAAACGATTCGTGATGAGAAGCGGGTCCCGGAGAATGGGCCGAGACCTTTTAGGGGTCGATGTTATGAAAAAGATGAAAAAAACAGGATGTCGGGGGCATGGGCTTTCGAGGCGCGACCATTCGCCGGATTGACTTGTTGGTGCGGGCCCAACGCGATGCTATAGTAGCGTTTGGCGCGCTTGTGTTCGGCCCCCCCCCCCCCCACGGCCCCCAGAAAACCGCGCACCAAATGTTATTTCCACCCAGAACCATTATTGCGTCTTGCCGAGTCTTGTTGAAGAGGGGGGGCGAAGGAGGGGACAAGCCAAAACGCTGATGCCACAGCTGCCGTCCTTCCCCTCCCGCTCACTCATCCCTTCCACTGCGCGGATGTTGTTTCCTATGCGCGGACGCGTGTCGTCGCGGACGCGTGTCGTAGCGGACCTGGAACTCCCAAAAAGACCCCACCTTCTTATGCGCAATCGGACTGGGGGAGCTGCGTACAGATGAGGAGGCGGAGCAGGAGGACGAGGAGGGGGAGGTGGAAGTGGGGGTGGCAGATGAGCAGCAAGAGGATGAAAAGGGAGGGAAAGGAGGATGAGGAAGGACGAGGAGGAGGGTGAGAACGAGGAAGAACAGCAACTGCGCGAACTGAGCCGGAAGGAACAGGAGGACATCGGGAAGGCGAAGGAGAGGAAAGGAGGAGGGTGACAACGGTGCAAAAGGAACCGGATCCAGAGAAATCGCCAGCGCTGCGGCGAGAGCGCCGTTCTGAACGACGGCGGGAGCAAAGCGCTGATCCGAAAGTGAGGACTACGGTTCAGCGGGAGCACCGTTCTGAAACACTGACACCAGTCGGATAGGAACACAAAAAGAACGCCAGACGAATCAATGTTCCAAATCCCGCCTTATACAAGCGCGCAGAGGGCCGAACATCTCCCGGACAGAGTCAGGGGTGAGGGCGGCGTAGCACTCATAATGTGTAACTGTAGAGTTTGAGGAGGAGGAAGAGGAGGAGGAGGAGGAGGAGGAGGAGGAGGAGGAGGCGGAGAAGGATAATGACAGGGAGGAGGCGGAGAAGGATACTGAGAGGGGGGTGCAGGAGAAGGCGGAGGAGAAGCAAGCGAGGGAGGCGACCTGAAGATGGTGAGGAAGGACGCGAGGGAGGTAAGGGCGGGTGTGCGCGGTTTTCTGCGTCCGATCATCGAGCCATCTTGTCGCGGCGGTCGACGTGCTCGACTTCACGCCGGGTGTTTCCTCTTCGTTTCGTATCGCTTCCTTCCCCCCCGAGCAGGAGGAGGATGGCGACGACGACGACGCAGAGTAGGAGGAGGAGGCAGGACGAAGACGAGGAATACGATTGTCAGCCCGATGCCTCGCCACACTTCAAGGCAGGAGTGTTCGCCCCTGCTCCCTACTCGGGGCGGGGGGGCGACTCGACGAGAGCCTTGTAGCTCTCAGCCAAAGTGTGAACACACAGAAGAGAAGTGGGAGCATCACGGAAGTAATGATGAGGCTGACGAGAGAAGAGCAAGACATCTGCAATAGCAATAGACGAAGAGGCTGTGGCGATGACGCCGCAAAGCGCTCAACTCCTAGAAGCCAGTTCGGACATCCGACAGTGTATGTCCATGTCAGTCCCTCAGGTCTGACGTTACAACCAAAACGCAGCATAGTAAAACATCACGACCTGAGCCCTGGACCTCATCTTTCTTTCTGTGGCATTACTCAAACCGGATTGACCTGTCACGTTCTCGGGTCCCGAAATAGGGCGCAAACGCCCATTGGGGAAAACATGCCACGCCAGGATCTGAGAGTTATTCTTGCCCCCTCGCTCACGACACCGATCCTTCTCCACTCCCTGGCGCGCGGAGCGCGCCAGAAGATGCGCTTGAGGCGCCGCCAGGGGAATCCAGCGCCGATCCGCGAAATCATCGCGGGCCTCAAAAGTTTGCGCCTTTTTTAATGGACGCCGCTGACTGGGCAGACGCAGCCGGCCCACTCTTTATTGGAATCGGGTCGAAGACGACCCCAGGGGGTTCGAGAAGACGCGAAGAAGAACCCACCAAGATCCCCCACGACAAAGGGCGAAAAGGGCACCCAAGTGTGTCGAGACCGGCGGAGGAAACCGAAGAGGGACACGGAAAGGCAGAAACGCGCACCGCCACTTAGTTTTGGTCAAGCAGTGGCGAAGCATCTTAGCTCGCCTATAGGCCTACCAAAGACAGTTCAGAGAACCTTTTGTGATATTCCAACTTGGCCTGAGAGGCCCCAAAAGTGCCGCAAGACGCTGCAAGAGAGCTCCAAGAGGCGCAAAGAGAAGGCTGAAGCGGCGGAACTCGTCGAAACCTTCTGGGTTTGGGGGATTTGTTTGGCTTCTCCAGGTTTTGGCGGAACATGCGTCGAAGACGACCGAGGGGTCCGAGACGACCCTGGGGGGCCCCAAGAAGGGGCCAAATTCTTCACGCTTCGCGTATCCCCACCAGCCCATCTCAAAACAGCAACTCTTGCGAAGCATGCCGACAGTAGTGTTTTTCAGGCGTGTTTCCGCCTGCCCCCGCATATCTCCCCTGTTCCTCCTTCCTCCCGCCTTCTTGTACATCCTCCTTGTGGTGGGAGCGGGAGAAGGACGAGGCGGAGGAGGAGGGAGAGGAAGCGCTCCTCGTGGTTTGAGTCGTTTGGGGTTTCTCGTCCTGGTGTGAGTCGTTCGGGCCCTTCTTCCTGGTGTGAGTCGTTCGGGCTCTTCGTGGTGTGAGTCGTTCGGGCTCTTCGTCCTGGTGTGAGTCGTTCGGGCTTCTCGTGGTGTGAGTTGTTCGGGCCCCTCGTCCTGGTGTGAGTCGTTCGGGCCCCTCCTCCTGGTGTGACTCGTTCGGGCTCCTCGTGGTGTGAGTCGTTCGGGGCCCTCGTCGTGGTGTGAGTCGTTCGGGCTCCTCGTGGTGTGAGTCGTTCGGGCGCCTCGTCCTGGTGTGAGTCGTTCGGGCCCCTCCTCCTGGTGTGACTCGTTCGGGCTCCTCGTGGTGTGAGTCGTTCGGGGCCCTCGTCGTGGTGTGAGTCGTTCGGGCTCCTCGTGGTGTGAGTCGTTCGGGCGCCTCGTCCTGGTGTGAGTCGTTCGGGCCCTCCTTCTAGTAGTAGTAGTAGTTAGTAGTAGTAGTAGTAGTAGTAGTAGTAGTAGTAGTAGTAGTAGTAGTAGTATAGTAGTAGTAGTCGTAGTCGTAGTCGTAGTCGTAGTCGTAGTCGTAGTCGTAGTCGTAGTCGTAGTCGTAGTCGTAGTCGTAGTAGTAGTAGTAGTAGTAGTAGTAGTAGTAGTAGTAGTAGTAGTAGTAGTAGTAGTAGTAGTAGTAGTCGTAGTCGTAGTCGTAGTCGTAGTCGTAGTCGTAGTCGTAGTAGTAGTCGTAGTAGTAGTAGTAGTAGTAGTAGTAGTAGTAGTAGTAGTAGTAGTAGTAGTAGTAGTAGTAGTAGTAGTAGTAGTAGTAGTAGTAGTAGTAGTAGTAGTAGTAGTAGTAGTAGTAGTAGTAGTAGTAGTAGTAGTAGTAGTAGTAGTAGTAGTAGTAGTAGTAGTAGTAGTAGTAGTGGGAGCCTCTTGGATGCCTTTTGGGGCGTCTTGGGTGCCTTGGGGGAGCCTCTTCGGGCCTCTTGGGAGCCTCTTGGAGGCCGTTTGGGGCGTCTTGGGGGCCTCTTGGCGGCCCCAGGGGCTTCCAGGAGCGTCTTGGGTGCCTCGGGGGAGCCTCTTGGGGCCTCTTGGGGGCCTCTTGGGGGCATCTTGGGGGCCTCTTGGAGGCCTCTTGGGGCCTCTTGGGGCTCTTTGGGAGGGGTCTGGGAGGAATCTTGGGGCCATCTGTCGGGCGATCGATCACAGATGGGGCGAGCACTTTTCTTCCCCCCCCCGTCGGGACCAGAATCCTCGTGAGGGGTGTCGAGGGGTCTGGGATTCTTAGCCCTCCCAGTGAGTGTCGCCCTCCCAGGAGTCGAAAAAGACCCCTCCAACGACCCGCGAGACGCCCTCTCCAGGCCCAGGGGGAGGGGGTAGGGGGAGGGGTAAACCCCTCCCCGAAAGGGAAGAAGGGGGTTGAGAACAGAGCGGGCTCTCTAAACCACTCACGCCCAAAGGGCTGGTGGGATTAATCCAAGAGGGCTCCAAGAGGATCCCAAGCCTGCCCAGGAGGATTCTGGAGAGGTCACAAACGGCGCCCAGTAGCGTTGGGAAGTCTTTCGTGCGACAGACTCTTGGAGTTGAAAGCAAATGGCGGCTAGCGGACGACTGGGATGCAGCCAAGGCCCCTGAGACAGCGAAATGAGCAGGCCGCGGGGAGGACCCGAGGAGGGGTTGCCAGGGCTATAGGGGAGGGCATGGGTACGAGGAGTGCGTGGGCAAGAGACTGAGGGAAACAAGTTATTGTAGCCCATGCGGCGGGGATCTCACACGCAGTACCAGGTGGGGCGGCGGAGTGCTTAGCTCAGTCCGCGGGGCCACATTGCACCACTGTTGATACAACTATGTCTGTATGCTCATGGCGGGCGAGAAGGAAGGTAGGGGAATCGATCGGGGGGAGGAGGAGGAGGAGGAGGAGGAGGAGGAGGAGGAGGAGGAAGGAGGAGGATGAGGAGGCATCTCGACGGCTTATGTGGGCACTGTGGGGACCAACCCGGGTCGCGGACAAGACGCCTCTTTGGAAAGCTTCTTGCAGTCTCATGGAGGGCCCTTCGAGCTTCCCGGGGGGCCACGTGGGGCACCCTTCTGGGCTTGTGGGGGCCTCCTCGGGGCTTCTGGAGGGCCTGTTGGATGTCGGGGGGGGGGGGGGCGGGGGCAAATTTCGGTTATGTCTTTTCGGGTTCCCAGTCTTGGGGCCCGCATGTGAGCCTCTGGAGCCCTCTGGGGAGGACTCTTTGGCAGTCCGTGGGCGCTCTCGGGGCCTTCCTGGGATCCGTTTGGACTGACTTGGGGCGATCTTGGAGGCCTCTTGGGCCGTCCTTGGCGGTCGCAAGCTTGAAAAGACGGTAACGGCAAAATCTCCCCCGACCGCTTCGTGAGCGAAATGACATACCCGTATCCGCGGCCTCGCGGGACAGGCCCCTGGGCCGCGCCCCCGCGGATACGCAGCGCTCTTCCGCGGATGCCCAGCGCGGGACGCGTCCGTGAGACCGCGTCTCCGCGGGAGGGCGCCCCAGAATCCAGACCCCGAAGGCGCGGATACGGACACGTTCGCCGCTCGTGACCCCACCGTGGCGTCCCTCCCACCGTTGCCCCCGCCGTTGCTCCCGAGGCCCCGCCCCCTACCACTTCCCACCGTTGCCACATGGCCCAGCCCCCCCACCACCTCCCACCAGGTCGGTACGGTCCTCAGCCACACGGCGGCGACTGATGCCCGGGAAGCAGGAAAAGGCTGAGCGCAGCGGCCGGGCCCGCGGTCTCTTTTCCTTTCCCGCACCCCCCCTCTCCCCTTCTCCACCCCCCCGCGTCCTGAGCGGTTGTGCGACAGCGCCAGACCGCGTGAATTTGAGCTTTGCCTTTGCCTCCCACCCTTGCCCCCTCCCCCGCCCTCCGCAGGAACGCGGCCATCTCCGCTGCGGGCCTCGCCCAGCTCCTCGCCGCGCCGCGCGCGCTCGCCCTGGAGAGGCTCCGCGCGGCGCGCGGCAGGAAGGAACGGATGGGAGCAGGTGGAGGACGAGGGGGGAAGAGGGGGAGGGGGAAGAGTGGGAGGTAGAGGGGGAGGAGGGGAGCCCGTAGGCATTTTGGCTCAAGACCAAACGGGGGGAAGGTATGAGGTACCGAGGTAACTTGATTAGTCTTGGGGCATCCGTAGCTTCCTTCGAGTTCGGGGAAAGGCCTCGGTGTTTTGTTCCCCGCAACCGTCATACCCTTTTTGCAGCCACTTCGTGTGCTCCTCATCTGCTGGCGGGTGCTCTCTTTGAGCGAAGACAGATGGCGGCAGCGGCAGAGGCGTTCGGCAGTGGTGGTGGAGTCGAACACGGACCCGGAGGTGAGACAGCTTTTGGCGGTGGCGCAGCATCGTCTAGAGGCAAGCGGACACGCATCGACCTCTCGCACGAGAACGGCGGCTTCCACACGATCGGAGATGATGGTGACGATCTTCGGGCGTACGTCGACGGGATCCTGGAAAACCTGCTGGCGCAGGTGTCCGAGGTCAAAGATTCAGCGGCAGTTTCTTTCAACAAGGTCACCTCATCGGTCACCGCCACGCGTAGAGGTCCCGGCGTGTAGGCCACGCAGGAGATGGCGAAGATCAGCGCCAGGATTGACCCCATGGAGAAGCGGTTCATGGCGCACCAGGACCAGATGCTCGACATGGACCGCAAGATCGACAGCCTTTTGCGGGGAGGGCCAGCGCAAGTTCGGGATCGCTCGCAGCGCAGTGCCCCAGCAGTCATTCGTTCAGGTTCTGGCACGCAGTCCTCGAGGGAGATCGACTCGCGCATCGCGGGCCCGCGCGCCCCGGCGCAGATTTTGAAATGCAGCGCCCAGGCGCTCAGGCGCGGTTAGGTTGGAGGGCGCCGACGCCCCAGGCGACGGGCGTGACCTGGAGGGCGGCCCGACGCCGAAGAGGCACGCGCTGCGGCTCAAGGGGGCGGTGGGTTTCGCTGCGCGGAGGCTGGCTCACGCGTCCACGCCCCTTCGCCCTGCTCACCGCGGCGGAGAGTGGGGGAAGTTTTCCGGCGGGGCCGTGGGCGGCTCGGCCACGGAGATGCAAGGTGGCCCCGGCAAGAACGCGGAGATCATCCAGAGGGAGGTCGCGCGCAAGAGCGCGGAGAAGATCTTGTCCGAGATCTTCCCGGAGAGGACGTTCTACATGAACAAGCAGAGGGGCGCTACATCCACGAACTGGCGCCTCCTTGCTCATGTCCGGCCCCGACCCGACCAGGAGCGCCCATAGATCATGCTCGCGATGGCCAGCCGCAGCGCAGAGGGCACCCAGAGGGAGCAGATTGAGATCAGCCTCGGCCAGGGCTTGCGCACACAGGCTTTTATGATTGAGTGGAGTCGTCAGCGGGATCCACGTTTCGCGAGGCGGCGCGGCCTCCTGCGCACCACCTTCCCGAGCTGGAGCTTGGGATGCCGCAGCCTTGCTCCGCCATGAGGTGAGCCTTCGGCTTGGCAAGCGCGCGTGCCTCAAGAAGCACTTGAAGCCAGGGGCCCCGTTGGCAGTGCGAGAAGTGCACGGCGCAGCAGAAGAAGTCCAGGATTTCCTCCAATTCCAGCCTCGCCTCGTCCTTCTCGTTCACCTCGTCCTTTCACCCTTCCTCTCTCCGCGCTGACGGTGCAGTTGCCACCTTCCCCCAGTTCAGCCCCGCAGAGCAGCGCAGACGGGCGCGCGCCCCCCCCCCCCCCTTCCGGCCCTCGACCTCATCCGTTTCTCGACGGACCTCTTCCCATCATTGCCTCTGCTGTGATTGTTTCTGGGCGCGTACTGCTGGCGCGGATTCGGGCCGCTCACAACACGGCGAGCACATCGCATTTCAATTTGCGCAACCATGATCTAACTCGTTGCCAGCATTTAGATGTTCTAGTGCACATTCATACGGAGCTCAAAGAGGCCCGAGGAGACCCGCTGAAGTAGCTCGTTCGGCTGACTGGCGAGTTTAACTTCGGCCACGCGAAGCCGAGGTTGCGGCTGGAGGACGGGGCCCCCACCCCGCCGGCCACGCCGCCGCCGCGAGCCCGGAGGGAGGCCCTGGGGACCACAATGGAACTGCAAGCGGAGAACCCGTGGCACTTTCATCCCAGTACTAAGTGCGTCTCGTTCATTGACCGGGCCTTCGCGAATCTTCCTGCGTGGATTTTGAATCGGTACTCGCAGGGAGGGGAGGTGGTTGGGTTCCCAGAGGTGCTGCTGGCTAACAAAGCGTCGGGTCATGTTGCGGTTCAGGGTTGTGTTCGGCCCCGGGGCCACACGATATCCGAGAATCGCCCGATACCCAAGGATCTCTTGTTCACGGCTGAGATCCAGGACTTCCCGAAGAACGCCATTGGAGCTGACCCCCCCGACGGTCATCCCCCTGAGGAAGTGCGCAGAATCGTGAAACTCTCACGCGTGAAGCAGCGAAGTCTGCCAGGCATGCGATCATTTTCAGGAAGCCTGCCGGCCTGCCCGCGCGCTACATGGCGGCGCGCAGCGTTGCCAGAGCAGCTTTCGGGGGCGACGCCGCGCTGGCGACCAACCTTCTGCGCTGTCGCATCCTCGCCAGGGACTTGTTGGGTCTCGACCCTGTCACTGCTGAAGTTCGCATGTTCGATCCCGAGGCATTCGCTCGATTTCTGGTGGCTCTGCATCGGGCGGTCGCCGTGCAGAGCAGGGGCCGCGTTGCCGGGGCTGCCGCGCAGGGGCGCCGAGCTCTTGCAGGGCCGCCCCGCGCGCGTGCAAGCTCTGGCCATTCCGCCCCCGACTTGCGACTCACTGAAGGTTCTGCTGGCCCGACCAGCTGCCCTACACCTTAGGCGATGCTTAAAAAATAGTTGAGTTTTCGGCCAGAGTCTCGATTATTCTTAACGTTTCAATATAAATCCTAAGTTTTTAATAGAAATGTTGGGTTTTTAGTCAAGATCTGAGACTCTGAATTTCTTAACCCATGATTTCTTAAGCATTTCGCAGGGTGTGTGCTGCCTGGCAGAAAGCACCGCCCGCGCGGAGTGGCTGTCCTGCATGCTAGCACGATGCGCATTTTGAGTGGGAAGATGCTCTCCCCAGACTATCGTCACTGGCTGGAGATCTTCGCGCCGAAGGGAGATGGCCCCGCCGACGCGCCAGTCGCCGTCAGGGGGGGCCTCAGAGACCCTCCCGCTAGGCTGGAAGAGCACCGACAACGACCTAATCGCGAGCGTTGCGCGCCAACCGTCAGCAAGACTGCATGCAGATGGGCGTCGATGGGAACCGACGGGGCTTCGCGCAACGCCGAAACTTTGGAGATAACGTGATTAAGCTGGCATGCAGGAGGCCGAGGTTTAGAAGCCCCCGGAAGCAACCAGTCCTGGCGCGTTTCGACTTTGGGCGCGCGTTCCTTTCGATGCCCCAGGCGTGGCTGATGATGGCGACGGCCTCGGTGATGATCCCCGACCCCCTTGAGAAATGTTCCCAGGTGATCGTTGAAAGCGTGACCTGTCCTGGGATCTTGGCAGGTGAGCAGGCGCCGCCTTTTGAAATCCCCAGTGGGATGTTTCAGGGCTGTCCCGGATTTGGGGTACTTTGCTCGTCTGGGCTGGGCTGGCTCCTGCAGGAGTTCCGGAAGCTCTTGGGTGCGAAGCAGAAGGGCAATGCGAGAGCGCGCGCGGACGACATAGGAATCGCGGATTGGGACCTCAGGCCCTTCCGAGGGATCTGGGCTGTTTTTCGCCAGGCGGAGGAAATCGCCCGCCTCTTGATGAAGCCTTTCAAGTGTGTCATCACACCCCTCTGCCAGATGTCCAGCGACATCGCCAAGCATCAGATCTCCCAACGGATCGCGATGAATATCCCAGATTGGCAGCAGTTCCAGATAGTCGCCAATGCAAAATATCTAGGTGTCGGTCTGGGCCCAGGAGTATGCGGAGAGGAGTGGCATGCCCCGCAGAGGAACTATTTTGACCGGTGCCGAGCTGTCGCTGGAAGCGGCATGGCCATTGAGATTGCGGCTCGTACATTCAACCGTCGGTGCATCACTGTCTTCGGATACGTCTCGCAGTCCGCTCACCTCCTGTCTTCTTTGAGAAGCTCGGAGTCTGCTCAGTTCTCGAAGATATGTTACATGCCGCTCTCTCGGTTGAAGTATACTGACTGGATGCAGGTATCGGAGTGGGGTGGACCTCCTTTCACCAGCATGCAGGCGCTGAACCTTGCCAGCGTCGTGTGGGCAGCGCTGTTCACGTCTGACGCCTGGAGAGCGGCGCTCGAGGACTTACGGGGAGCTGCGGCCAATCACCCCTCTATCCCTGAGGTAGCCATGGCCTTCTCTTCCCACCCTTCTGGAAATCGTCGGAACCTGTGGCCTCGATTTTGTCGGAGGCGAGTTTGGGGTTCCCGTCGGATCCGAAGTTCAGGACTGCTGGAAGTGCTGCCCCCAGGTCTTTCAGCCAGCGCAGGATTGACCACCCGACTTTCTCAGGCAAGCAGTTGCACGCGCAGCGCACCATGAATGAGGCCACGCGGCCACGCGTGACACGCTGTACCAAGATAGGATCCCCGAAACGTTTCCCCACAAGCCCCTGAAGTGGCCCATCCAATGTCGCGACGACATCCGGAATATTGATTGGCAGCGTCTTCGTACCGTGATGCTGCCCTTTCCCCCTTGCTGGCGCTCTGCAATTTGGGGCTGGACCGCTGAACAGAACTTTCAGGAACAAGCGTCGTGCATCCTGGGTTGTGTAGCCCCTGATAAGTTCTCTCACTACTGGTGTCGTGACAGATTCAAAGGTCTGTTACACCAATCCTTAGGCCGTCCTCTTCACTCCCTTCCTGTTCCCCGCTGAGGTGTCTGCAGCCCCACCCGTGAGAGTCTTGCGGTGGTCGTGCACGCTTTCTTTTTTGTTTCTCGGGGTGAGAGCTGCTGCTGGCGCTAGCCTCCCCCCTCGTTCCAGCCCAGTGCGCCGCGCAGATCCGCCTGGCGCGGTTCCAGGCTTGGCGTCCTCGTGCAGGAAGCGCTTGATAGGCCGGCGGACGGCGAGGCCCGCGTCGCGCAAGCGACGCGCGGTGAGAGTGGGGAGGGGTAGGAAGATGGGAAGGAGGGAGGGCGGAGGGTGAGGAAGAGGAGGGGGGAGATGGAGGAAAGGGAGGAGGAGAAGGAGGACGAGGAGGAGGGACGCGAGGCCGAGGCGCGACCGAGTCACTGGAGCTCTCGACGAAACGAAGAGGAGGAGGGTTCCTCTGCATGCATCGGCGGCACGGTCACCAGCGGTTGCTCATCGCTGCTAACAATTTCGGCTTCTTCGGCGGGGGCGGGGAGCTCGAGCGGACAGGGCGTCTCGGGAGGCTCGGGCTGGCGATCCGCGCAGCGTGCGGTCGGCGCCCTCGACGGAGACTCGGAGGAGTCAAAGAGGGTCTCAGCCTCAGCTGCGAGACGCCCTGCGGCGCGGCTCATTGCCCTGCCGAGTGGTGTCGTTCGCAGGGGGCTCTTGGGAACGTGAGTCTGATCTGGCCACGCGACCCTCTCCATCACTAGAGCCACAACGCCGTCGTTATCGCTGCAACCGGTGCCATCGCCGTCGGCGTCGCCAACGTCGTCTCCACCATGAGTGGTGGCATTGCCCTATTCCCTGGCCTACGCCCCTATCACTGTTATATCCCTCGCCCCCCCCCGCCTCCTCGTCCTCCTCCTCATCATCCTTCCCAGTCGAATCCGTCCTCCGCCTCATCATGATCATCATCCCTTCCACCTCTACATACGCGTAAAATCTAAGAGGAACAGCAACCGAGACAACCCGAATAGCAACTGATACAACAAAACCAACAATGATCGATCACGAACCTAGTCTCAGGCGCATGCAAGCACCAACATCGATATCAAATAACCGCTGGCGGTAAAAAAAAAACGCCAAAAGCTGGCAGTTGAAATACCCGCCACGGCACCTTAGGGGCGGAGCTCGAGGAAGAAGGCTGCTGGCGTCGGGCGTCGAATCGACGGACGTTCGACTCAGCTTCGACGCACGAGTGGAGCGACTGGCTCCAGGAAGGTCCCCAGAATGAGCAGCCAAGGTGCACCCGGCTTGTCGTCCTATGTTGGAGCCCATGGGGCTCCCTGGGCCTCGTGAGGGGCGCTCTGGAGGCCGTGGGGGGCTCCTCGGAAGTCCAGGGGCACCTTGGGCCAGTGGCTGTTCCAGCAACGCCCGCGCCTCGGCCAGGGTCTCCCTGCTCGCGCCCTCTCGGTCCTGCCTGTCCGCCTCTTCCGCATACCCGGTCGCCGTGTCCTCATGCGTTGCCGCGCTTTCATCCTCCGCGCGGCGCGCTCATGCCATTCCCCTGCTCCTCCTTGTCCTCGTCCTTGTCTTCCTCCTCCTCCTCCTCCTCGTCCTCCTCCTCTTTCTCCTCCTCCTCCTCCTCCTTCTCCCCTCTTCTCCTCCTTCTCCTCCTCAGCGTCGTCCTCCTGTCCCCCTCCCCTACCATTTTGTTGCGTTGAGTGCTGGGCCAATAGGTCCAAAGAGTCACCGTCCCTCTGCAGCCTCCGCCCTACCATCGGCCAACAGGCTGGACCTCAGCGAGTGCGCCCTGGGCGCCGCGAGCGCGCAGCTGCTGGTCCGCCACCTGGGACAGCCAGGCCGTCACACTGTCATTAGAGGAGCGGAATTACATCTGCGCCAGTCGTCAAGAAGCCTTCCCTCTTTCTAGGTACCAGAGGCATTGGTGAGATAATAGTGTACAGACGACCCGTATCATAAGGATGCGCGAGAAGGATGCCAGGGCTTTGGAAGGCCGTTTCGGAGCTGTCCGGGCGGGGCGCGGCCAACGGATGTGGCCAAGGATGGACCGAGGAGGCGAGGATGCAAGTGTACCCTTGGGAATATTGCCCATCCTTACTCTGCGGGTTGACTGTAGATGACGGCCGACAGGAGTGTTGTCGAGCAGGATTCGTTGTCGGTGTCGCCGCGGGCGTTCTCCGCTTGGGAGAAGAAGTCGCCTGATCAACACCGGCTGCTCTGTAGATTGTGGACCACGTTCGCTGTTGGTGCCCAGCATTTCGGGCGTCAGGACCTTCGTGTTGGCTCGGCGTGTCTACAAAAGCTTGCAGGACGTTGGTCCAACAGTTGCCGCCGTGCGCGTGCGCGCAAGTCTTGCTTATCGCCTGCCTTGGGTGGTGGAGGAGAGTTGGCTTATGCTTCGCGGGCAGTTGGCCTGTCTGCTGGGAGTCAGAACATTGGTTGTACTTGGAGAGCAAGGCAGAGAGATGATTTTATGGCACGGTGAACTAGGCAACAATAAGATGAGTGAGGCACAACATGCGGCAGCGAGGAGTAGAGGTCGACAAGAGGCATAGGGAGAGGGGTGATGGATAAGCGAGGAGGCGGAGGAAGGAGGGAGAAAGACGTGGGACAGGGCAGTGGGGCAGGAGGAGCCGACAGGGCGGAAGAGGAGAACGCTGGAGTCGTGAGCAAGCGCAGCCTGGAGCACCAGGCAAGGCTTGATCCGGCTCAGGGTGTCTGGGCATTGCCCCCGCCGCACCTTCGCTGGCGGCCGCCATGGGCCAGGGCGTCGATGCCGCGCGCCCGTCGCCGCTGCTCGAGTCGCCAGGCTCGCCGTCTTCATGGCCTTCGCCAACGGCTCCCCTGCCGCGCCAGATCCCCCCGCTGGACGAGCGCCACGCCATCGGCGCGGGCCAGGCGGGCCTGGCGCTCTTCAAGGCCATAGTCGGACCGGGCATCCTCTTCCTGCCCGCCGGCGTCAAGAACGCTGGCCTCGCCTCGGCTTGGTGCATAAGCGCCGTGGTGGGGCTTGTGTCCACCTGGTGCATGCTGCTCGTACTCGACACGGCGAGGCACCTGCGCTGCCGAGGCCAGGTCGTGGCCGACTTCGGCGACATCGGGGCGGCGGCCTTCGGGCCTCCCGGGCGGCTGGCGGTCGCCTCGGCCATCGTCGTGGCGCAGATGGGCTTTTGCACCGCGTACTGCGTGTTCGTTGCGGAGAACGTGCAGTCGGTCATATCGAGGCCGCCTCCGGCGAGTTCCCGCCGCCTTTCCCTCTATAGGCCAGAGAGCCCCACATGGGGGGCTCTCGAAGCAGCTTTGCATTCTCGATGTTTCGTGTGCTCGCGCCTGGGCTCGTTTGGCCCTTTCGTTGACCTCCCTCTTGGGCCGTCCTGCGGGCTCTCTTGCTCCATATGGGGGCCCGGCTGGCACACCAGACACCCCAGGGAGGGCGGGCGGGAAAGCCGGCCGCGCCGGCGAAAGCGACGCCCCAGGCGACCAACGCCCGCGGCCCGCAGGAGGGCGCACCGGCCCGCCAGGGCGTCGCCCCGACGAGGCCGCGCGCGCCCGGCTCCGCGGTACACTCTTGGGCCATCTTGGGGGTTCCTCGGGCCAGCTTGATTTGGTTAGCTATCTTGGGCCAGGCCCCGCCGGGTCGTCTTGGGCCCTCGTGCGCCCCCCTCGGGGGCCTCGTGAGAGCTGCCGGAACCCTCGTAGGGGCCGTCCCTGGCCGCAAGAAGAGCCTGCCACGACCAGGGAGGCCCGCCAAGAGGCCCCCCCAAGACAGTCCAAGAGGGCCTCCGCCCCAGGACGTCCCCTTCCAACAGTCTGAAAGAAGCTGGAAAAAGCATGCGAGAGGCCCCAAACACCAAGACGGGCGTGTCCCTCTACAGGAGTAAGATTCAAAAACAGCCGAAACATAGTATTAGGACGATTTGTATTGTATATTTCGATCATCTTTGTACACGTTTTGACTATTTGTTATTCTTCGCCCAAAAACCGCCTGTAGGGGGACATGCCCGACCTAAGCCAAACAGGGCCCCACAGCTCGCGAATAAAGGCCTCAGCCGCGGCAGGCGGCAGCACGCGACAGCAAGCAGGCAGCGGCGACTACAGGAACAGAGTCAAACAGTGGCGCGTTCCGTTCCGCTCGAAGAGAATTGCGCGAGTGGTCGTTGCCTTGGGAGCGAGGAGCATCAAATGTTTTACACGCCCATGTTCAAAGACAAATCTAGATGTGCCCATATCTGGCTGATACATCGATGCTTCACGACATCGGCTTCATGTTCTAAGGATCTTGCTCTCTGTTCGCAGAACGTTATGTTGCCCAGAGAGGCTTCTGCGACAGGCCCATAGGAGTACAAGCGCGGTCGGTCCCTGGTCAAACGCTGCTGAGATGATTACGTTGCTTGGGGGGCCCTGATTCGTGCAGCCAGTTGGCCCTGCAGGGCGACCGGCGGCTTCGAGCTCCACGGCGGCACGGTGGGCCGCGCCGGGCACGGCGAGGCGTGCGACTTGGCGTGGCCGTTCAGTGATTGGCGGCTTGTCTACCTTATCATCTTGGTGCTGGTGCCGCTGATCATCCCTGGTGAGGCTTCGGGTTGCGCACAGGCGGCCCTCCCAGGTAGTCCTGGCTGGCTGCAACGGCCCCCGCGAGTAGCCTGGGGCGGCCTCACAACCTCACCCCTGGGGCGCGGCGCGCTCCAGGGCGCTGCAGGAGGCGGCGCCAGGGTGTTGAGACCGCCTCGGACTATGCGGGGGGCCTGTTGAGGCCAGCTGGGACTACCTGTGGGTGGCTGTCTGCGCGCAAGCCACAGCCTTGCCAACCATCCCTTTAACTTGGGTGAGGCAGATCCGGTTCTTTACGCTTACCAACCTTCTCGCCAGCGTGCTGGTCCTGGCGTCGGCCGCGTACATGCTCACGTCCTTCTGCGTGCAGCTCGCCGCTGCCGGTGTCGCTGAGGGCGTTCAGTGGTTCGCGCTCCCCGGCACTTGCGTCTACTTTGGCACCGCAGCTTATGCCTTTGAGGGCATCGGCGTCTTGCTGCCCATCGAAAACAGCATGGCCGAGCCTAATCGTTTGCCCGCGGTGGTCTGCTATACCCTCGGCGGCACCAGCCTGCTGCAGATAGCCTTCGCCGGCACGGCGTACCTGCTCTACGGCGAGAGCACCAGCCGGCTGCACGCAAGAGGCGTGACCCTTCGCTGGGGTGGCACCTGGTGGGGGGCCACATGGGTTCCTGGCCCCCTACAGCGGCTCGGTTGCGCTCTTCGATCTGACCCCTTCCCGTGGCCCCCATACGCCGAAGCAGAAAAACCATAAACACACACACACACGCACGCACACACACACACACACACACACACACACACACACACACACACACACACACACACGTTATGAGCTCCGCGCGGATTTCCGCGCGGAGCGCCGAAAGTTTATGTTTATGACGTTTGTTTGGCCGCCATGTGTTGCGGGCCTGCGCCCGCTGGCTGTTGGTCCCAGGTCGCCTTCACTGCAGGATGCTCTGCGGCAGCCAGCCTTGAAGTCGTGCATGTCGTCTTACAGGAGGAATACTCCAGAATGGTTCAAACATTGTCTGATTACGATGTTTGGTGTTTTTGTTGGCTGGTTCTTCTTGAACATTTGTATGATTATCTTTTCTTCCAAAATCGGCCTGTGCGGGGACATGCTCGACCTAAGGTGATTTTCCACCCACGATGAGCTGCGCACCAGAGGCCACGGATGCCCAGGGCCACCCCCTGCTTGCAGCCGAGACAGATCCATTGTCACGCTCTCCCTGAGCAGCGGCCCAGCGCTGGGAGGCATCGCCGCCGTGGAGCTGGTGCAGGTCTGGGGGAGAGAGAAAAGCGGGCACAGACACGGGCAAACGTCGATGTCCAGGAACATGCGTGGCAATGTTAGCGAGGGAAGTGAGGACGTAAGTCTTGGAACCCCCTACTCCGTTGTGATTCCCCGTGCGTCTCCCTGGGCCCCTCTCACAGGTGGCCTGGATCCTCGAGGTGCTGCTGACTTTCCCGCTGCAGCTCTTCCCCGCCGCGGGGCTCGTGGAGCCCGCGTGCTTCCGCGGAGGCTCGGAAGCCGGGCAAGGGCTGCTAAATCCGTGGCTGCTAACATCGACCTCCGGGAAGTTGTCTTCGTCCTTCCGGGAAGAAGCCCGTTGACTTTTTCGCGTGCCGCGCCTCATTCCGGAAAGTTGTTGTTTTTTCTTTCTGGGAGGGCCGTCTTAGCAGCCACGGTTTTAGCAGCCCTCGCCCAGCTTCCCAGAGGCTCCTTCCGGCAGCGGCGCTCGGGCCGGAAGTGGACCAATCGGGTCGGACAGAGGAAGGGTAGTTTCAGGGGCGGACTAACCGGCCCCTAGCACATCATCCCCTTCCGTGACATCCTCCTTGCATCGCCCCAAGACGTATGTATGTGGTTCGGCCGCGCCCGATGGTTCGAGGTTATGGGTTCGGGAGTCGAAGAAGCAAAACCGGCATCAACATAAACTTTTGGCGCTCCGCGCGGGTTTCTTGGATCCGCGCTGGGCCCCCCTGGCGGCGCCTCCGGCGCCGCCCCTGGCGCGCTCCGCGCGCCAGGGAGGGGGGTCCAGCGCAGATCCAAGAAATCCTCGCGGAGCGCCAACAGTTTATGTTTGTGGCGTTTTTCTTCTTCTAGGAAAGGTGTGTTGCCTTTTTGTCGGTCCTCGCCGACTTTGCACTAGACACCTATGATGAGAAGCTTTGCCGAGAGAACTGCTGGGGCACACTCTTCGTCGCTCTTTGATGGCCCTAGCGTGCCACCAGAGCTTCTATGGGTCCCTGGGGCCATCGGGGGACAAAGATCTCCTTGGGGCGCCAGCTGGCAGGCCGATTTCTCATGTGATACGCTTGCTGCCAGTCATCGGAGTCGTGGTGGTGGTGGTGATAGGACTTCCGTTTCGAAAAATCTGCCCCACACTCAGCAAATATTTACTTGTGTTTCATGATGAGGCTTCTGAACTCAACTTCTGTTCTGTCCTGTTCCAGCTCGCTGGAGTAATTTTTAGTACGCCCAGCTCTTGTTGTATTAAAAGCGCTGTGGTTTCCCATAAGCGTTCATAAAACGCGCAGCCTCGGCGGCGAGCCGGGGGGGAAGTGAGAAGAAGACGCATAACACTTATCAGAAGGCCGGGTGCTTCTGAGAGGCCCCGCCGCCTTCTGAGAAGGCACTCTCCTTCTCACCTCACCCCCTCGCTCGCCGCCGCCATTCCTCCAGTACCACTACCTGGGTTGGTCGGTGAGCACAGCGGGGGGCTGACGAATCAGCTCGCGCGGATGGCCGGCCCGGGGCCCCTCGGCACTGGAGGCGCTGGAGGCTAGCTCACCACACACCAAACCACCCCAACCCAACCCGAAGGCTCAGATTTACCCTCGATTTCCAGTGGGGGGGGTCGGGAAACATCGTAAAAACACATATGGGGTCTTCGGGTTGGGTTGGGGTGGTCTGGTAGGTAGTCACTAGCACCGGGGAGGGCGCCGAAGCTGCGGGCCAAGGCCAGCCGCGTGCCGCAGATTTCGGGCCCGCCCCCGCCCGCCACCGTCCCTCGGCCACACGCGGAGGGGGGTACCCATCGGTCGTTGAAACTTGGTAATTTGGGGATGCCAGATCCCAGATCTACTCCAGATTTCGTAATAAAGGGAGGGGGGTCTCATTTCGGGGGGGGGTCTCTTCCAGGCTATCTTGGAGGGCCTGGGTGGTCTGGGCACGATGTTTTGGAGGGTTCTCCCACGGGGGAGGTCTGAAATGGCTTGTCTGAGAGGGTCCAGACCCCCTCCCTTTTATTACGAAATCTGGAGTACTTTAAGCGACTTCCTACTTCAATGATCTCGTGGTTGTACCTTGTCCGTCCTCTTTCCGGGGCGGGCGGACACCCAATCTACTTCCAACGCCTTCCTACTTCATGCTTCGACCTACATATTCCGATCGATGGATCGGGGGAGGGGGGAAGGCTGCTCAGAAGCACCCCTGGTTCTTAGAAGGCGTGGTCCTTGGCCACAGATGTATGACCGGCGCCTTCTAAGAAGCAGGCTCCTTCTAAGAAGTTTCCCCCCCTCCCCATTACCCCCCTGTGCGCGCCGCCAAGTCGGTCCCCCGCATCCAAGATTTGGTGTCCGTGCATGGGAGTTTTCAGCGGCGACGCTTGAATCAGTTTGTTTGCGCATCTGGGCCGCAGTTAGGCCCTTCCTCCTGCTCCTCCGCGCCCTTCCTGTTCCCCCATCACCCTCCTCGTTCTCCTCGTCTTCCTTGCGAAAAGGGGCGAATCCGATCCAAATCTGGTCCCAAATGAGCTCCACATCCCGTCCACATGAGGCCAAAATCGGACAGCGCCGGGGGCCGCGCGGACACCAACACATGCCGCAGAGTTCGTGCTCCCCCCCCGTCCCCATCATTCCCCCTACAATTAAGTCGGGCATTTCCCTCTACAGGAGGGAGATTCAAACATAATTTTAAAGATAGCCCAGTGCCGTCTTTCTGACTTTGGTTGAGCACTTTTTGACTAATCATCATTTTTTCTTCAAACATCCGCTTGTAGGAGGACATGTCCGACCTGGGTCCAGACTGCTTCCCGGGGGGAAGCTTCTTCGTCCCAGACCCAGGTTGATGGTCCCGGGTCCCAAGAATGGCCCCCTGAGGGCCGAAATCGAGGAACACCTGTTGGTCAAAAAGAAATCGTCGGAGATCTGTCCATTCCCCTGAGTAGCACGATGCTTGTATCCAACCCCCGCTTCCGTCCGACTCCGGAGAACGCGATCCGCGCGGGGCTGCTGCTGATCTGCGTGGCGGTCGCCATGGGCGGCTACACCTCCGTGGACAACCTGGTGGCCCTCATCGGGGCGCTCGGCTGCGTCCCGCTGGCCATGCCCGACAGTGCCAAGGGGGGTCACCACTGATGAGGGGGGCCACCGGTTCCTCCTGAGGATCGCGGTCCCAGGATCCCGGAGGAGGATGAGGTGTCGATACCATTCATTACACCCTGCGAAATGCTTTAGAAATCATGGGTTAAGAAATTGATAGTCTCAGAATTTAAATAAAAACCCAGAATGCCCACTCAAATCTTAGGATTTACATTGAAACATTAAGAATAATCGAGACTCTGGCCGAAAACTTAGGTTTTCTTAAGCATCGCCTAAGGTGTACCCTTCTCTCGTCGCCACGGCTGCATTCGCGTCGAGCCCCTCGCCAGAACGCACCGCAGGAGAGGTCCGGGGAGCAGCGGTATTGGGACATCCTCATTCCCCTTACGCACGCCACTGGGAAGGTCTCCAGTCTCTCCTGAGGATCGAGGTTCCAGGATCGAGGGCTCGAGGAAGCTTTTCTGGACGCGTGGAGTCCTTCTGGGGAGCTCTGGGGGGTTCGGGCGGGGGGGGGGCTTCCTGCAGGACATGGCACCTCCTCGAGATGAAGCGGTGACCCCGCAGAGTGGCGACACCCCTTCTTGGCACTGTCCGGGCCATTGTGTACCCCGCCCTGTTCCACTGGAGGACTCTGGGCGCTTCCCAGTTGGGCTCCGAGCAGACGGTGTGGGAGGACCGCGCCGCATCGCCGATGCATCGGCGAGGCGGGACGGCGTGGAGCCTGATCTTCTCCGCGCCAGCTGCGCCGAGGCATCGCCGGCGCCGCCGGTGCACTACCCGTGCATCGGCGATGCATCGCCGGTGCCTCGGCCAATGCGGCGCGCTCTTCCCCCCCCCGTCGGCGCGGACCCCAGCCTGGGAGGCCTTACCCAGACCCCCGACGTCATGATTTTTTCACGACGCGACCCCCAGAGGTCCGGACACATTCCCCGGGACCGGCTTTTCATCCTGAAGCGCTTTTTGACGGTCCTGAGGGCTGGTAAGGGCCCCCGGAGGCCGAAGATAGCGAAAAACCTCGCGTCGTGATTTTTTCATGACTCGAGGGGGTCTGGGTATAGAGGATTGTCTGCGGCGGCCGCGGCGGCGCCAGCGGGGCGGGCCCCCGCGCCCCCGCGGGCGCGGCCCCGGGGCCCGGCCTCGGCGGGCCTGCCGGCGACGCGCTCATCGTCGGGTGCGGTGCTCTCGTGAGCCTCCCAGGTGGGGTCCGAGCAGGTGGGGTCGGAGGACCGCGCCGCATCGCCAGGAGGAGGAGGAGGAGGAGGAGGAGGAGGAGGAGGAGGAGGAGGATATCCTCCTCCTCCTCCTGCTCCTCCTCCTTCTCCTCCTTCTCCTCCTCCTCCTCCTCCTCTTTATCTTCCTCCTCCACCTCCTGCATCGGCGATGCGGCCCAATATGGAGCCCGCTCCCCTCCACGCCGACGGCACCGATGCATCGCCGGCGTCGCCGGTGCATCGCCGAAGCATCGGCGGTACGGCGCGGTTCGCCGGCCCCATCTGCGTGGGCCCCATTTGAGAGGCCTCCACAGGGCTCGTTTCGAATCCTCCGATTCGATTCGATTCGACTCCGATGGATTCCGATTCCGATTCGATTCGATTTCGGATTCCGATTTGGGCTCCGATTTCTTATTGGACGCATACTAGCCTGCCGATTTTCGCCGATTCGACTTTTCCCGACTCGGCTGCCGATTTCTGCCGATCCGACTTATTTCGATCGCCGATCCGACTTATCGATTCGATTCTGGGCTCCCCTGCCTCCAGGTGCCTGTGCCGTGCTGATGGCGGTTGTGCTTGCGATCAGGTCCTGGGTGTCGAGCACGTTCGAGTTCCAGCAGTGCGTCCTCAGGACCTGAGGGCTCGTCGCCTGCTTTACCCTCGCTCCCTTCCATGCGCTCGTGTCCCGCATATGATCTCGCCTTGGTGGCATGTTGTCCACCAGCGCCCATTAGCGGCATGTTTTTTCCACATGCGTGCTGCCCGGACCAGATCAAAAAAAACACCAGGGAAGGCGTGGCCAGCCGCAATCACCAGGCGGCCAGTGCGCTCAGTTGAGGTTCGTATACTCAAGATGATTTGGTGAGCGCGAGACCTCTGCGCGGAGGATGAAGCCACGAGGGACGCTGCTGGGATCGCACCCAGAGTTGACCAAAGGCACTTCAGAGTGGGCGGCCCAGCGCGAGGCGCCTCGCGAGACATGCCATGCTTCGCTGCCACCGCCCTCGCGTTGATTGACAGAGCCTCTCAGCACTTGCTTCCAGAGATGGGTTGCCTCCGCTCTCTGACTGCCCCCATCCTCGCACTCCCTCCACCCACCCCTTCCCCCCCCTTCTCTATCTGCCCCTTGACTCCACCCATCCTCTCACTCCCTCCCTCCGTCTCCCCGTCCCCCCCCCTCCCCGTAATGTCCCCAACATCTTGCCATTATGTCGAAGTGGCTCTTGGGCCACAAGGCGGCCCACACGAGGCCGATCGGGGCATCCGCGCCGCCGTCTTGAAGCCCCCCCCGCCCCCCTGTCGTCATCCGATGTGTTTTTTTTTCAGTGCACGGCCGCAGAGTTCCCGACCTTGGCCCAAGGGGGGTACGGTAGGTTCGTACGGCGTTGGCGCGCCAGCGACGCCGGCGAAGGCGTTCAAGGTTGAATTCTGCGACGCGGAAGCACCGAGGGACACGGTAACGCCGTTGGACTCGATCGAATTCAACCCTGAGCGATCGGGGCCGCGATCGATTCAAGGTTGAACGATCGGCGCGGTGTCAAGAACCTTTGCGCGCGCCGACGCCGGGCGAACCTGCCGTATGGTGCTTCGTCCCGGATCCATGCGTTTGATCGTCCCGGCCCGACCACGGGCTCGGAGGCCGAAGCCGAGGGAACACCGCAGGAGCACAAGCATCATGTACACCTTAGGCGATGCTTAAGAAACCCCAAGTTTTCGGCCAGAGGCTCGATTATTCTTAATGTTTCAATGTAAATCTTACGATGTTACTAGAAATGTTGGGTGTTTATTCAAGTTCTGAGACTATGAATTTCTTAACCCATGATTTCTTGAGCATTTCGCAGGGTGTACAGTGCAAGCCCATGCCAAGAAGCACCCTGCTTGCCCCCAGGGTGCCCCCCAGGGTTTCTTAGGTTTCGATGGTCCTGCTGTGGGCAGCGTGACGTTCCCACCTCAAACATCACTGGACGGCCTGGGGTCTCAGGGTTGGGTCTCGTGCGCGAGGTTTCTTGTGGTCGAGCTCCTACTGTCACAAGTGATCTGGGGAATGTCCCCGGTCCGCAGCCATTCCGTAGCGGCTCGTGGGCCACGGCGTGGCCCACTGGAGGGCCAGCCGGGGCGCCCGCGCCGCCGTTCCGGGGGGCTCTCGTCGAGCTCCAGCGGGCGGAGTGGGCCCTCGGCCCTCCAAGGCGCGCAGAGAACGCGAGAGCAATGAGGGAAAAATCTACGCAGGGGCAACGACAGGGCGGGATGGGCACAGGGGGGGCAATCGACCCCCACTTGCCCATGGATCACCGATACGGGTATGATAGCCCCACCCCGCCCAGGAAGCTGCGGTGTTGCTATCAGGGGCCTGTCGCCGATCTATGGGCCATATATCGCAGATTCCAGGTCGATGCATCCTCCTACGCCCCCCCCCTATCGTTGCCCTCCAGTCTGCTCACGCAGGCACGATGGCGTCGTGCAGAAATCACGGCGGAGGGTTTCTGGCAGTTTTCTGCCTTGGGGGGGCTCCGCTGGGCTCGGGGGCCGTCCAGAAGCGGCTCGGGAC